TTTAACTTAGAGGTATTTGATACCTTTACAGTGGTCTGTAGAAAGAGGTTTAACTTAGAGGTGTTTGATACCTTTACAGCGGTCTGTAGAAAGAGGTTTAACTTAGAGGTATTTGATACCTTTACAGTGGTCTGTAGAAAGAGGTTTAACTTAGAGATGTTTGATACCTTTACAGTGGTCTGTAGAAAGAGGTTTAACTTAGAGGTGTTTTTGATACCTTTACAGTGGTCTGTAGAAAGAGGTTTAACTTAGAGGTTTTTGATACCTTTACAGTGGTCTGTAGAAAGAGGTTTAACTCCTTATAGGTATTTCATACCTTTACAGTGGTCTGTAGAAAGAAGCTTAACTTGGAGGTATTTGCTACCTTTACAGTGGTCTGTAGATACAGGGTTGCAATACCTATATTCACACAGATTTAACTCTAAAGGTATTTGATATCCTATCCGGGTATTAATATTTGTTTATAAATCTTACTGTAGTGTATTCCATACCTGTTGAATGGTCTATAGACACATGAGTAAGGATGATTTTATTGACATGAAAGATTTCATCTCTACAATGATTGTTGCATGAAATTTCCTTGTGGTTTTTTTACTTAAAAAATCCCAACTATTTCTCTACTTGTCAATATTACTTGATATAATAAAGTATGTTAAGAGTTCCTTTTTTTCTTGCCCTAAAAACAACAAAAAAACCAACAAAGAAACTAAAACAAAGGGAAAATTAAAGATTTTTGTCTGGCATAAATACATTAATTTTTCTCACATGATAAAACAATAAGTGTGATAGAAAATGATTATAATCATATCAAACATGAAAGTGTAAAAAAACACACACAAAAAAAACCCAACCACACAATATAATAATATTATAACTTTGAAGTACTTTGCAACAAGCAGGGTTTTTCCCCATTCACATTTTTCATTGATGAACAGATAAATATGACAGTCATGCTTAGAATTGACATGAAATTTTTTTAAAGCATCATCATTAGATGATGAGTAGGAGATGAATATTTCAATATGTACACCAGTTCTACATTGTTATATGTGACAGGAAAACTGACTCACACTAGGGATTGATTGAACTCTTACGTAATTGGATTTCTCATTTAACCCTCCATGATTGATTATCAATCGCTTTACCTAGGATTGATAATTATCTAATACACCAGCACTTTGTCAAGATTTTCTGTCCCTCATTTGGTTGCTATGGTGATAAATGAACATTAGTTTATGTAACAATTTAATTTACCAAAACTGGTCTTCACTGTTGAATTAGTTAATTAGAGAAATCTGTTTTCTACTTTCTCATTCTTGTCTTTTTGTATTGATTTTACCCTTAACATCTCCTGTGTGTTACTTCAATAATAAACTACATCATGTATATAACTGTCAGAGAATGAATTTTCATATAGATCTCTCTAATTAAATTCTAACCTCTCAGATAATCACATTCTGTCATTATTTTATGAACATTATTATTTCTAACAATCAATACTGTGCTTTGATTGGTTGACATCTAACATAAACAATTTGTAATAACAGTGTTGACATTTAGCAATCGCATCATTAGTTTCAATGTATAATTTGCCAAGAATTTTAAAAAATCGACTTTTATAATATGAAAATAGATGGTACTTTGCTTTTACATAGCTGAATATTATTGATGTTCTTGATGTTTTGCTTTGAGTTGAATAATGATTTATGATTTAAGCAGGCAACAAGTCCTGGCAGGTTTTACAAATGTTCTGGCTGACATTTGACTCTATACTCAAATTATAACTTTTCTCATACTAAAGTTCTTCTTCAAATGAAAAGGCCCAAAGAGTTTTGCTTCAAAAGCCAGTCTATATAGTAGGCCTTTATGTAAGTTATACAATGATTTGTCTTGGGGTCAAAAATGGCATTGAACCTTGGAACTTTTTGTCTTCTTTACCATTTACTTATGTGAACAATATACAATTGGCCCTTTGTTCTTTATAAATGAGGAAACTTTCTATCAACATTGAGTACTTTTAAGTTAAATTTCCTCATGTGAAAGGAGATATATTTCATTCATTATTGATCTACTATTCCCATGTAGAGATGTCTGTCTAGTTAAAGAAGTATTTTTGTGGTTGAATCTTCCGGAATTAGGCCTTCTTAATTGACTAGACCGGTTATGGTTGCCAGCATCATTATCACACACCCACTGACCTGTGTTAGCAGCTTCAAGTTAAACTATCATATAATATTGCCAGAGAAGCTGAATGTTACTGCTTGATAATTGAAGAATTGTTATTTTTCTGTCAGTTGGATATTTAAATTTTATGATTTTATTTGTGATCAAGGCTTTAACACTATTAGAGTCAGACATGCAAATGACAATTTTATAATTTCCTTGTTTCTTTTAAAATTTAGACAAGTTATTATTATGCCCCCATTTTGAAAAAAAGGGGGTATATTGCTTTGCACTTGTCGGTCCGTCGGTCCGTAGACCAAATGGTTTCCGAGTGATAACTAAAGAACCCTTAGGCCTAGGAACTTCAAACTTGGTATGGTGATAGGTCATGACCAGTAGATGACCCCTATTGATATTGGGGTCAAGGGGTCAAAGGTCAAGGTCACATTGACCTTGAAAGCAAAAACGGTTTCCGAGTGATAACTAAAGAACCTTAAGGCCTAGGAACTTCAAACTTGGTATGGTGATTGGTCATGACCAGTAGATGACCCCTATTGATTTTGGGGTCAAGGGGTCAAAGGTCAAGGTCACATTGACCTTGAAAGCAAAAACAGTTTCCGATCAATAACTAAAGAACCTTGAGGCCTAGGAACTTCAAACTTGGTATGGTGATTAGTCATGACCAGTAGATGACCCCTATTGATTTTGGGGTCAAGGGGTCAAAGGTCAAGGTCACATTGACCTTAAAAGCAAAAACGGTTTCCGATCAATAACTAAAGAACCTTAAGGCCTAGGAACTTCAAACTTGGTATGGTGATTGGTCATGATCAGTAGATGACCCCTATTGATTTTGGGGTCAAGGGGTCAAAGGTCAAGGTCACATTGACCTTGTAGGTAAAAATGGTTTCCGTTCAATAACTAAAGAACCTTAAGGCCTAGGAACTTCAAACTTGGTATGGTGATTGGTCATGATCAGTAGATGACCCGTATAGATTTTGGGGTCAAGGGGTCAAAGGTCAAGGTCACATTGACCTTTTAATTAAAAACGGTTTCTGATCAATAACAAAAGAACCCTTAGGCCTAGGAACTTCAAACTTGGTATGGTGATTGGTTATGACCAATCAGATGACCCCTATTGATTTTGGGGTCAAGGGGTCAAAGGTCAAGGTCACATTGACCTTGTAGGTAAAAACGGTTTCCGATCAATAATGAAAGAACCCTTAGGCCTAGGGACTTCAAACTTGAGATGGTGATTGGTCATGATCAGTAGATGACCCCTATTGATTTTGGGGTCTAGGGGTCAAAGGTCAAGGTCACATTGACCTTGTAGGTAAAAATGCTTTCGGATCAATAACTTAAGAACCCTTATGCCTAGGAACTTCAAACTTGGTATGGTGATTGGTCATGACCAGCAGATGACCTATTGATTTTGGGGTCAAGGGGTCAAAGGTCAAGGTCACATTGACCTTGTAGGTAAAAACGGTTTCAGATCAATTAACTAAAAAACGCTTAGGCCTAGGAACTTCAAACTTTGTGTGATGATTGGTCATGACCAGCAGATGACCCCTATTGAGTTTTAGGTGAAGGAGTCAAAGGTCAAGGTCACATTGACCTTTTAAGTAAAAACGGTTTCTGATCAATAACTCAAGAACGCTTAGGCCTAGGAACTTCAAACTTGGTATGGTGATTTGTCATGACCAGCAGATTACTCCTATTGATTTTGGGATCAATGGGTCAAAGGTCAAGGTCACAATGACCTTGTAAGTAAAAACGGTTTCTGATCAATAACTAAAGAACGCTTCGTCCTAGAAACTTCAAACTTGGCATGGTGATTGGTCATGACCAGCTGATGACCCCTATTGATTTTGGGTCAAAGGTCAAGGTCACATTGACCTTTTAAGTAAAAACGGTTTCTGATCAATAACTCAAGAACGCTTAGGCCTAGGAACTTCAAACTTGGTATGGTGATTTGTCATGACCAGCAGATTACTCCTATTGATTTTGGGATCAAGGGTCAAAGGTCAAGGTCACAATGACCTTGTAAGTAAAAACGGTTTCTGATCAATAACTAAAGAACGCTTCGGCCTAGAAACTTCAAAGTTGGCATGGTGATTGGTCATGACCAGCAGATGACCCTATTGATTTTGGGGTCAAAGGTCAAGGTCACATTGACATTGTATGTTAAAACGGTTTCCGATCAATAATAAGAGAACCCTTAAGCCTAAGAACTTCAAACTTGGCATGGTGATTGGTCATGACCAGCAGATGACCCCTATTGATTTTGGGGTCAAGGGGTCAAAGGTCAAGGTCACATTGACCGTGTAGGTAAAAACGGTTTCTGATCAATTTACTAAAAACGCCTAGGCCTAGGAACTTCAAACTTTCTATGATGATTGGTCGTGACCAGCAGATGACCCCTATTGAGTTTTGGGTCAAGGGGTCAAAGGTCAAGGTCATGACCAGTAGATACTTTATAACCCTTATTAATTGTTTGATCACTGGGTCAGACGTCATGCATAATAACCTTATCACATGACTAATTGGCTGCTGATAGGGGGCATACATGTTTTACAAACATATCTTGTTATAAGCTTGAATCAATCAATATTTTTGCATTCTTGACCTACCAGCCATAGAATCATATGATAAATCACAGACAAATGCAATTAAGAATTTTCACTGTTCTTTGCTGTATGTTTGTGATTTTTTTTTCAGCACTATAGTCAGAATAATTAAAGACTAGAAATGCAAACTAGCCTAGCTGGCATATAGGTTATATCAGCAAATTTTTTTGTACAGATTGATATTTAAGTGGTTTATATATTATTCTATTTCAGCTGCCACAGCAGGAGTTACAATAGCATTGAGTGTTATTTTTGTTCTGCTAGTACTGATAGCACTGGTCGTAGTCATGTGGTACTTGTGGAAGCGTAACAAAAGAAAGACCGGAAGGTACAATGTATGTCGTAGACTTTTCTTTTGCTTGACTTTTCCTAACCATCTTACTTTTTGATATTTTGAGTTAAATTGAGAATAAGAATTCAAGATATGTGAATGATCTGGAGTGAATGCTTGTATTATGTTACTTCAGCTGTTGTCAAAATCTGACAGTATACTCGTGCACCTCTCTCTGATGATTGATCTTACAAAATTGAAATTTCTGCGCTTTTTATTAAAATCAGTTGATAAATTTCATAGAGGGTCTGCAAAGTTGGACATATAGTAATGGAAGCGTCCGTCTGTACAAGGTTAACATAAACTGGCAAGTTGGATTTATCTTATATTCTACTGTACCAATGGCTTCATACATGACACATACAAAGTACATGATCTTTGCAAGTTACATAACTATGGCTTCCTTTTTAGCTCACCTGTCACAAAGTGACAGGGTGAGCTTTTGTGATCGCTTTTCGTCTGGCGTCCGTCTCTCGTCCGTCGTCCGTCCGTAAACTTTTGCTTTAAATGACATCTCCTCATCAACCACTGAGCCAATTTCATCCAAACTTCACAGGAATGTTCCTTTGGTGGTCACCTTTAAAAATTGTTCAAAGAATTTAATTCCATGCAGAACTCTGGTTGCCATGGCAACCAAAAGAAAAATCTTTATATATCTTCTTTAAAACAACCCTAAGACCTAGAGCTTAGATATTTGGCATGTAACATCTTCTAGTGAGTGTCTACCAACTTTGTTCAAATAAAAGCCCTGGGGTCAAAATTGGCCCCGCCCCAGGGGGTCATTGATTTTCCCTATATGCATATAGTAAAAACTTAAAAAATCTTCTTTTAAAGAACCCAAAGAGCTAGAGCTAAGTTATTTGGCATGAAACATCTTCTAGTGAGTGTCTACCAAGTTTGTTCAAATAAAAGCCCTGGGGTCAAAATTGGCCCCGCCCCAGGGGGTCATAGATTTTCCCTAAATGCATATAGTAAAAACTTAAAAAATCTTCTTTTAAAGAACCCAAAGAGCTAGAGCTAAGATATTTGACATGAATCATCTTCTAGTGAGTGTCTACCAAGTTTGTTCAAATAAAAGCCCTAGGGTCAAAATTGCCCCCGCCCCAGGGGGTCATTGATTTTCCCTATATGCATATAGTAAAAACTTAAAAAATCTTCTTTTAAAGAACCCAAAGAGCTAGAGCTAAGATATTTAGCATGAAACATGTTCTAATGGGTGTCTACCAAGTTTGTTCAAATAAAAGCCCTGGGGTCAAAATTGGCCCCGCCCCGGGGGTCATTGATTTTCCTTATATGTGTATGGCAAAAACTTAAAAATCTTCTTTAAAAAAACCCATATAGCTAGAGTTTAGATATTAAGCATAAAACATCTTCTAATCAGTGTCTACAAAATTTGTTCAAATAAAAACCCCGGGGTCAAAATTGGCCCTGCCCCGGGGGTCATTGATTTTCCTTTTTTGTGTATAGCAAAAACTTAAAAATCTTCTTTGAAAAAACCCAAATAGCTAGAGTTTAGATATTAAGCATGAAACATCTTTTAGTAAATATCTACAAAGTTTGTTCAAATAAAAGCCCGGGGGTCAAAACTGGCCCTGCCCCAGGGGTGTCATTGTTTTTAACTATATGTGTATAGTAAAAACTTAAAAAATCTTCTTTTAAAAAACCCAATGAGCTAGAACTTAGATGTTTAGCATGAAACATCTTCTTATGGGTGTCTACCAAGTCTGTTCAAATAAACAAATAAAAGCCCTTGGGTAAAAATTGGCCTGGTGGTGGGGGGGGGGGGCTATATACAGGTGAGCGACCTCAGGGCCATCATGGCCCTCTTGTTTTACAAGTTATTGCCCTTTGAAAATGGATATGGTTAACCTTAGAAGCAATGGTTGGATATATCTTATGTGATAAACTTTTATTGGGTAGTTGAATATTTTTCAACTTCATCAAATAGCAATGACATGCCAACTTACATTTTTCACAAATATCAAAGGCCATGAGTGTCAAGTTACATAACTGTGTTTATATTTTAATTTTTGGGACAATTTTTATGTCATAACTGAGTAAATGGGTAAACCGAGGGCATGTGTGCTTACTAAACAAGTCCTTGTTTTACTTTGAAGTAATTTTCTATATTTGAAATTAGTGAGAGCAAAGAATGGTAGAATTGTTAAGTCAAAAGAGATCCTGATTGGTGATACACTTGAGACTTCCAAAGAAGAATATAACAATATTAGAATAATGCAACTTAAAACAGAGAACTATTATCAACTAGATTTTGAACAAAAACTAGATTTTGAACAACATCTAGCCCTTGTTAAGTTTTATTTTAAATTTTAAGTATGATTGTTCGTTTTTGGTAGGTACACATTGAAGTGTGGTTGTTTAGTGAGTGGTTGTCTGTTTCAAATACAACCTTTCTGATAAATATGTCTTCTAATTTAATATCGGACACAGAAACAAGCTAATTTATGTCCAACTTTGAAAAAGTAAGAGTATATTGGCTCGCATATTAATGTTGGATGCACTGTATTATTACTCCATTAGTCAGAATACCATTTTGTATCTGTTCAGTAATTTGAGTATGATTTGACCACAACCTCTAAATTCCATACATGGTTTTTATATCTTAAAAAGTGTTTAGATTTGAGTCCCTTTTCTTAAAAAAGGGGAAAAAAAGGCTTAAAAGTACCTGAATTTGATAACTATTTTGAAATGTGCCTGAAAATTGCTTAAATTCGCTGAAAATATGCTAAATAATGATTGAGTGAAAGTTAACAAAAAAGCAATCCAATTTAATACCAAAATCAATGAAATGTTTGCTCAATGGTAACAGTAAGGAGACAAATTGCAGTTGATTCAAAACTAGTTTGGGTACGAATATACTGTAGTTGTTCTTCTATTAAAAAAAACATGCTTAAAAAGTGTGTGAATTTTGGCATTAGATGTTTGTATGAACCTTGTCATAGCATGATTGCCTAGAAGACCTTTAATTAATGTTTTCTGGTGAGATTGTAGAACAAGTAAATGACATAGTGACTGTGGCAAGTGACTATGCCAGTAACATGTCTTATTGTAAACAAGCAGCAGTTTATTAAATGTATGCAATTATCAAACAATTACCAAACTTAATTCTCATTAGGAATTGCTGATACAAAGATTTCTACCCGCTGACACAATAATTTTACAGAAGAAGATTTATAAAAATATCGTTAGTCTTTTGAGGGGCTAAGACACGAAATGGCAGAAATCAGCCACCATTACAACTATTCAGTCTTTAAATGAAGCAGTGGTATAGAGGGACTGCAGTCTGGCAGTGAAACATACTATTAATGTTATAATGACCATGTAATATTAGATGTGTTACATGTATCAGAAAGGATACTTTGAAACAGACTTTAGTATTAACTTTAACCTTCATGCTTCTTACCAATCACATGGTTTTGAAAGTTGTTTTTAGCTTAACTATTCTCAGAATAATCAAGCTAATGCAGTCACCCATTTGTTGGCATCGGGGTCCCTGTGGTTAAGTTTTTGCGTGTAAGCAAGTATCTCCATAACAACTGATGGGAATGAATTGAAATTTCACACGTTTGATCTCTGTGATTATTTAACATGATTGGCACAAGTCCCATAACTCTGATTTGCTTTTTTGCATATTTATGCTCCTTTTTCGACTTGTTTAAGATTTTGCTTGAAAGCTGGTATCTCCATAACTACTGAAGGGATTGGATTGAAATTTCACACACTTGTTCTCAATGATTATCTTACATGATTGGCTCAAGTCCCATAACTCTGATTGCTTTTTTGCATATTTATGCCCCTTTTTCGACTTAGAAATTCTTGGTTAAGTTATTATTCTTTTCTTTGAATTCCTAATCAGTTACAAATTATTTATCATTTAATGATTAACCTGTCATTGCTCTGTCTTTGCCCTGCCCTGTTTTTGTTTGGGTTCCGCCTTGGCTCCTTGCCACTGGTTCTTGTTGCTGGGTCATATGGGGGTTGCGTTCATTGAACGCCGCCTTTCCTTGTTGATCTTGTTTATCATATTTTGTGTGTAAGCTGGTATCTCTATAACTACTGAAGGGAATGGATTGAAACTTCACACACTTGTTCTCTGTGATTATCTAACATGATTGGCACAAGTCCCACTTGATTTGCTTTTTTGCATAATTATGCCCCATTTTTGGCTTAGAAATTCTTGGTAAAGGTTTTCCTTTGTTAGCTGGTATGGCCATAACTACTGAAGGGTTTGTGCCTTTTGGGGGACAATTTTATGCATTCATAATAATAAAGCAGTGATTTACTCGCTAAAACATCTTAATAACAAGCATTTGTACCTTTTCTGACAAAACAAGCCTTTGTACCTTTTTGAACAATTTTATTATTCATATAGGTAAGCATTATTATACTCAATGAAACAACCTTGTAACAACTTTTTCGAATAGTCGAGCGTTACTGTCCTCCGACAGTTCTTGATCATATTTTTTGTTTTGTTTCATATTTTCTATTTCAAAATAAGAATTTATGTAAAAAGAAATGTATATTTATATATACTTTATATATATTTGATATAATATTAATTACAAACAGCATGTGCATGAATATTAAATATAAATATGAATATTAAGTATAATTTTGTTATTGACAGTGGCATGCGGGCTAGTGTTTTAAACTTTTTAAACAATTATAAAATAATTAATACAATAATAATAATATAGTGATAAAGGTTAAAGGGTACTTCTATGAGATGTTAACATCTTGGTGCTATTTTTCTGAATGCTGCATAGAATGGATTTTAATGGATTTCAGAATTAATAGTATTTGAATTATTTCATTTTACAATTGCTTAGTAGTGTGATTTATTTGTTAGATTTTTTTCATCATTTTCAACAAGAGTTGTTCTTTCTTCCATTTTAACATCTGACTTTGTATGCTAACGAAAGATCAGCTTTTCACATTATGTATATAGAGCATCACCCTTTGTTTTCCCAATTTAATCAGATTTTAATACTGACTGCTTTATATACACTGCCACTGGTTGGATTCTGTCTTGTTACAGACATGAAAATTTAAAGCTTATTTTATTATTTAAAAAAAAAAATTAATTAATTTGTATCTTGTGAGCACACATAATTTTATTGGCATTTGTAGTGAATTCATATAGACTTGGATATTAATACACAAAAGTCATATATACACAAAATGAGAGAAATATTTAATTATGATTTTGTTGTGTTTTTATATGAGAAAAATATCTGTAAAAGAAATTACATATTCCAGAAAAAATAAGTACAATATATACAATCATTATAGTAATTCAGGAAACCACAAAAATGTTTATAAATTATATGTAATTTACAAATTTACTTAAATAATATACAATGGTTGTTATATAATATGTAGAGATATATTGAGATATTTGGTGATTTTTGTAGTTGTAAGCATGATTATGTAAGTACATGTAGGTTCTATGTTCACATGTTTTATACCACAGTTTGTTGTGATCCTTGACTTGCCTCCCAACCTTTCATTTTATCTATGTAATTATGATGCTTATAGTGTTATATTAATAATTATTTTCAGTTTTGCATTTTTTTTACAACCCACCTATTTGATGTTATGATTTTTTTTGTACATTGCACAGTTTTATTTGTTTGTAAAGCATGGATGCTATATATAAAGTACCAGGTCCCCAGTTGAATTGTTTTAGATCAAGTGATATCTTATATAATAGATGAAGCTTTATTTATCAACTTCCTTGATCTTTACAGTGAAAGACTTTGTTGATTAGAGTACCATTAGGAAGTATTTGTAACAAAGTACAATACTAACAAAAGCTACAGGGACTAGCTCAAAAAAAAAAGCAAGCTACAAACTAGCTCATTAAGTACAAGTAGAGATATTGATGCTAAAGCATCAAGTCGCTGGATAGAAAATGACTGTATTATCATAAATATATAAAAAAATCAGTTTAATTAATGGTTCAGGTATAAAGAAAAGAGGTACAATTTATGTTGAGTAACTGTTTATTCACAATAAAACATCATATATGAAGCAAACTTGCTTAGCAATATTGTTAAGGAACTGCTATGATTATTAAGCAAGTATTTCGTACGTTAGTTTACGTAACTTATTATGATTTATGCTAAAGATTTTATTGATAGTATAGATCTCGATATTAAATTAATTAATATGTGGTAAGTATAGGACGAAGTTGTGACCTAGTAGGCCAAATTCGAATCTTTGAAAATCCCTTTTGCAGTTTTCATGAAACTATTTTTTTGCGCTATCGAAAAAAATAAGCTATTTAGTTGAAATCAATATTCCTGTTGTTACATACGATATATAGTTAACGTTTAATTGCCTTTCAGTTCGATAAAATATTAACAAAAAGATAGTTTATTAGTTTTCATTATTATGTGTCGTACCGTTTTGGTAACCTGCGCGACGGAAATCGACGGAATATAACGAAGACGACGATTACCACTATTTATTTCAATAAATGTGCCTCTTTAGCATAAATCTATTTTGTGATGTTCAACCTAAACTAAACTATTGAACATTGACAGAAAGGGCAAAATTTAACCCTTTACCAACATAAAATGAAAAGGTTTTGAAAATTTATTTAATTCTTTAATGTACTAATCCTTTCTAATGATATAAAATATGAAACTGATTAATGAAAGATAACTTTGTAATTATTTATACATTTGCATCTAATTAGCCCCCATACCGTTTTCCAACTAGTATGTCTTATCAGCAATCTGTTACTATTAATAGATTCTATAACACTAACATACAACGTGTAGTCACGTGATTCTTACAATAGAACAGGGAGAATCTGTTTATAATTAGATAAAATAATGAAATATAATAGGTGTCATAAGATATAAAACAACCAGATAATTTAAATGTGTCATTTTAAATATCATTCATGATTTATCAATCATAAAATAGCAACGCTTGACACTTAGAAAAAAGTAAAAGTATCCCTACATTCAATGACTGGTCCATAGGGATACGTTATTAATTCATTTTATGAAAATTGTAATGTTGCTTTTTAAGATGTCAATATTTGTATATTTCATTTCATTTAGCAACGTTAATTTATTTTTGAATTTTTAAGATTCTGAAAAATAATTGTGGTCCTTAATTGTTCAGTAATTGATAATGATTTGCTTTTATTTTCAGATTTTAAGGCCTTCTCCTACCATAGATACAATATTAAACTGTTACAAATATAGTCGCCGGTTTCTACCGGCGACTAATTAATGACATGCCTAGGTCACCAGTAACATGTAGAATTGTGGTTATGATATAATGGTTAAAATATAATATTTCTGGCTCTAATTATTGAAATTGTTTGAATTAACAATGCTGGTTCACTCAAAGACCACTATAAAAGTTAAGCATTTTATAGGATTGAAAATATTATTAGAAAAAACAATAAGCTAATAATAATTAATGCCCCTGTTAAAGGTCATGTGAGAGAATACAGGTTACAATTTTTTTTCAAATACATCAACATTATACAACTACATGTTGACTGAAAATTTTCTTGTTAAAAAGTTTGTAATGTCTAAGAATTAATCAATAGATATTTTACATACTGTGCAACAAACTCTTTGAAGGAAAAAAAAAGAATGGAAATTCAATTTCCTTGTAACTGATTTTAATTACTACTGCAAAAATCATATTCGTTTTTACCAGCAAAAGTAGCTTCTTTAAATTTTATGCAAAATTGTAGTATGCTTAAAATTGTCAGAAATTGTTCTTTTATTTCGGTTTTCTCACAGTTAAAAAAAAATATTCTGGAAAAGAAATTTCTTTTGAAATATATGTCATGCTATGAAAACAGAAAAAAGTATTTCATATTTTAATTGTCAATATTTTAAATTTAATGTGTTAATTTCTGATATAATTGTTGATTTAATTAAACAAAACAAAAGTTTTGATACAATCACAAATATGTTTAAGCATTAATACATTGAAGTAACTATGAAAAATAGAATATAGTGACTTAAAAAAAACAAATCTTTAAAAAACTTATGTATTGTAATAAATGAAGAAATTTCATGTTTACAAATTAATAAATCAACTGTGATTTTGCATTTCAGTATCAACTCTCTACCTATGGAAAAATACACCAATACAAATTATCTAGACAACAAAGCGCGGGCCAACCATTCTTGGAATCAATCACTGAGTCAACTAACTACTGATTCAACATGTAAAGGTAATCACTATGGGTCACTTCCACCAGAGAATGGAGCTGCGCAGTATGTACAAGGATCAAACAGAACATCTGATGAAGTACAGCCGGAATCGCCAAGAGAATTTGATAAAATGAATAAAAGTGTGTTATCAGAAGATAAGTTAGCATATGATAATGAAAATTTTGACAAGGATGGAGAAGAAAGTCCTGGGGCTAACAGTCAGACACCATTGTTTGACATGATTGATGGGTCAGGATTACCTAATGTGGTGCCAAGTATTGAAAGATCTTCTTTAAATAAAATAAACGAAACAGATCAGAAACATAAAACTGGAGAGAAATTACCTCCTGTAGATATGTCTATTCGGACAAGTAAATCTTCAAATGATGGAATCAGATCACCGAAGAAGAAAAAGCCGATATATTTACAAAGAAAATCAGCTCCGGTTAAAGGAATAGAGGATATATCGCAGGACATGGCGGGATATAGGAAAAGCGTGTAATAGTTATGTAATAGTTATTTACTTAATTTGCAATTAGTTAGTTTTCTAGTCAAATTTATTTTATGATTATAAATTGACCAATCACAATCTGGCTGGGGATTTTCACACTGTTATGTTTACAAAATTGAGATCTATAAAATTACAGAAATGGCATTTCAGAATTATTCTGAAAAATGTTCTTTTAGTAATTTACTAAAATTTTACATAACATTTTGATTAGTAATGACTACTGCATTTATTATGTTTACATTATTTTTAATGTACCGGTAATATAAAATGATACACAGATATTTTCATGTAGATTCAGGGAACTGGTATGTTTCTCTGCCATCTACTAGGGAAATTGAAAAAAGTGAAAATTTCTTCTAGATCATATTTATGAAATAAGGTATGATACACATGTATATAATACATGTATTTTGTACATAATGTCAGACTACAGCATACGTATATACACATATCATATCTTTAATTCCATTAATAGCTTTCAAAGAACCTCTCTAAACATCACTATTAGTGTTATGTATTGTGTGGTTTTGTAAAGCTTTTTCCAAGATAAGTTTCTGAATATATTATCCTATGATACTGTACATACTATTGTTCATTGTTCTGTTTGAAGAGGCTTCTTGAGTACTTCAATACTGAAAGTGAATCTGTTACTTATTGTAAGTGTTCTGCCATTACATCTGTTATATGTTTCAATGGTGCTAAATTGTAATTGTTAGTGTTTAGTATAGTAGTAGGTGGCAGATGGTTATACTGGTTAAAGTCAAGTTGTATGATTTTTGTTTAAATAACAATTTAAGATGGGGGGAGAAATGGTGGCCTCTTTGTTACAATGATTACATTTAACCCTTAACCTGCTGTAATTCTTTAATGGACTTGTCCAGTTTCTATTTTGGTAACTGTCCATTATCAATTTAAGGGATAACAGGTTGAAAATCTGGCCTGTTTTTATACAGGCGTCAAAAGCTTATCACTTTAAGTTGCAACAAGATCAGAGTTTAGGGTTTGTTGTTTGGATTTCACAAATGTTCACGATCCTGTTTTCTTGTAATGGCATGAAGATTGTGTAAGTCAAGGAAACTGTTTTAAGAGTGAATTCATGTAGTTCAATAGCTTCGGTTTAAAACAATTTTGAAGAAATTAGTAATAACTATACATGTATGCCATCTATTGTTTGAATAATAATATTATTTAAACTTAGTTAATATTTTTCCTGGTTTTAAAATCACAATAACTTGAATGTGGAGTTGAAGATTTAACCCAGGCCTAAAGTGATACGTACTTGAATTATTCTTTTGTCATGTTGAAATAAATTAATATTTGTTGGCATGTGCCAATTAATTGAATATAGTCATTAGCCCTTACCATGCTTGATATATAGAATGGACTTGTCTCACTTACTATGAGGATCAAACCATTTATAATGTTGGGGCAAGATATGTACTGATGTTGGTCTGCACTGGTAGAACGGGTTCCAGGAGTTTTAAGTATTATGGTATTATATATGTTAATAGTCCATTGATGTATATTGGTACCCATCTTATTCTGAAATCCAGCTTTATTATACCCCCAAAAACGAAGTTTGGGGGGGTATATAGGAGTCACCCGGTGGTCGGTCGGTCGGGCGGTCGGTCGGTCGGTCCAGACGTCCGTTGCATTTTCCTTGTCCGGACCATAACTTGAAGACTAATGGTTGGAATTCAATATACCTACATACAATGGTCAAGCACATTGAGAGGAAGTGCAGTGCACAAGAACCATAACTCTATCTTGACTAATTACAGAGTTATTGCCCTTTGTTACTTTCCTTGTCCGGGGCATAACTTGAAAAACTACTGGTTGGAATTCAAAACAACTTCATACAATTGTCAAACACAATAAGGGGAAGTGCAGTGCACAAGAACCATAACTCTATCTAAAGTAATTACAGAGTTATTGCCCTTTGTTACTTTTCCATTGCTTTCTTTTGTCCGGACCATAACTTGAAGACTAATGGTTGGAATTCAATATAACTACGCACATTGAGAGGAAGTGCAGTGCACAAGAACCATAACTCTATCTTGACTAAATACAGAGTTACTGCCCTTTGTTACTTTTCCTTGTCCGGGGCATAACTTGAACACTACTGGTTGGAATTCAAAACAACTTCATACAATTGTCAAACCCCACAATAAGGGGAAGTGCAGTGCATAAGAACCATAACTCTTTCTAAAGTAATTACAGAGTTATTGCCCTTTGTTACTTTTCCATTGCTTTCTTTTGTCCGGAGTATAACTTGAAGACTAATGGTTGGAATTCATTATAACTTCATACAATTGTCAAGCACATTGAGAGGAAGTGCAGTGCACAAGAACCATAACTCCATCTTTGACTAATTACAGAGTTACTGCCCTTTGTTACTTTTCCATGCTTTTTTTTGTCCGGAGCATAACTTTGAAGACTAATGGTTGGAATTCAATATAACTTCATACAATGGTCAAGCACATTGAGAGGAAGTGCAGTGCACAAGAACCATAACTCCATCTTGACAAATTACAGGAGTTATTGCCCTTTGTTACTTTTCCTTGTCCAGAGCATAACTTGAAAACTACTGTTTGGAATTCAATACAACTTCATACAGTTGTCAAGGACATTAAAAGGAAGTGCAGTGCATAAGAGACATAACTCCATTTTGACAAAATACAGAGTTACTGCCCTTTGATACTTTTCCGTGTCTGGAGCATAACTTAAAACGTACTGGTTGAAATTCAAAACAACTTCATACAATGGTCAAGCACAAAAAGAGGAAGTGCAGTGCACAAGAACTCTAACTCCATCTTCAGTATTTATAGAGTTATTGCCCTTTGTTCCTTTTCTTTGTCTTTCTGGACTTATTACAGAGTAATTCAATAAAACTTCATCAATGGCCAGCCACATTGAAAGGAAATGCAATATACAAGAACCACAACTATCTTTAATTGCCCACAACCATTATAAACTCTATATTTCAATTCTTTTACAAGATATTCTTTTACTAGTAACATCCTCATTTCCGAAGCAGTCTTGTGGGGGTATTAATCACATTTAGTGATAGTTCTAGTTTTTTTTTAATAGAAGGTCAAATGTTACATTGACTATTTACTTTTCTATAAAAAAAATGTATGATTATGATTAAGAATACAACATGTAACACTAATTCATATATGTACATTCTGTATATTAAATGTAACTTATTGGTGCATATATGTTGTTGAAAGTGCTATGATACTTCATTCAGCTGTTTACAGACTTTAACATTTCTCTTGCTGTTGAAATTGTAAGTTAGCCCAGCATAAAGTTTTGAACTTTTCATTGTGAAGTTTAGGAGGTTTTAAGATAAAAATGATAAAAGGAATCACTAACTAATGTCTGGTTTTAGAATCACTAACTAATGTCTGGTTTTACTACATGTTTTTCATTGCTTGCTATGGATTATTCTGCTAGCTTAAGTTTATACTGGTGAAAGGAAGTTATTGGATTCTAATACATATACCAATAAAAGATGACCTATTGTTATTGATTTGCAGGAAGAATTTAAGGAAAGTCTGGGTTTTGAAGAAAACAAACTGATAATAGGTGACCTTTTCCGTAATGATTTGTAATGATAGAATCTAATGCAATTATTGCACAATCTATTTTCTAATATGTAAATAGTTACCATGTTTTAATGTTTGTGTTGCCTGTTCTAAGAAGTCCAAATTAAATGTGATATTTCCTGTTCAACATTCCGGCCTCTTATATCTTGTTGTATTTACATCATAAATTGTTGTAATCTATAATAAGCATCCTTGTTTTTACTAATATTTACCGAGTGAAAGTTAAGATAACACAAAATTTTGTTTTTGTCTTACTGTCTGAAGACCTTTATCATAGGAAATGACATTTATTTGATTGTTGATGATATTCATAAATGATCATTTCATATCTGTTTTCATTGTTGCCAGTTATTATTGTTTATTGTTTACATTCATGCATTTATTGAATAATGTTTTATTAAGTTAAAGGCACATTATGCCTCAGAAATCCATATTTTTGTAATTCTTTAGAAATGTCAAACTTGTGTTTAAAAATGTTTAATAATGGATTCAGAGCATATTAGATGTTTAACTGCAAAAGAAAAGTTGTGCTGAATGTGCAGTAATGTGTCCTAAATGTAGTAAAATGTAAACAAAGTAGTGTTTTAACTTCCATACAAAATACTAATTCACTATGATTTATCCATTGCCAACAGGCCAATTGGAGGCTGTAACAGGATACCAAAAATAAGAAAGTTTTGAGAAATAAAATGATAGTATTTCTGAGGCATAATGATTGTGTAAATGATATTCATTAGTTTAATATTACAATCGTTACTGTATTTTATATCTCTACTATGTCACAATGATTATATAAATACCATATGATTCTGAGGGTGATATAGTACATAAAGTTTACCCTAGAAATATGATGTTTACTGAAGTGTTAGCCAAAGTATTACCCTCAGACAGATCTAATATTTACATTATTGAATCAAACTTGTGTAGGATATTTAAAACTGTTTTGAATGTAATAAGGAGTGAACATTAGCTGCAGTATTTTCATAATTGGTATGAACACAAGTGAAAATATACAGCTGATGTTCACAGGTGAAATATCATTTAATCTTACAAACAAAACAAACTGAAATTTCTATTTATTTCATGCTTTCTAGTGGTTGACTGATTTATGCCACATAACTTTATATATTTTCTACATGATGGCACAGCTAGATCAGGACTTCACGAAGTTCATATTGAAAAATTTTGTAAAATTTCTCGAATAAAAAATGTATTTAATAATAATGATATTAAAACTCTGTAAATTATTTATCTTACAATTTATAATGCTGAAAGTAGTTTACTTTACCGGATTCTGAAAATTGTTTAATTTATGCAGACCTGTAATATCCCCAAAATCTATTTTTAGATGCATGCCTAAGACGGTCTATTTTAAGACCCATGTGAGATCGCACTAATGTGGTAATATCCCAAGATAATATTTTTGATTGTTCCATGATGTATATATGGCAATTTAAACAGACAGTCCTGTGAGGTATAATAAAATTTAAGCACACACAGTGTTATCTCTGTTTTTGTTTGAAAGTAGGAATTCTCTGTGACACTGTACATGTTTATACCTTTTCACTCAGTTAAGGAAAGAAAAATTTCACCAAAAAATTGTAAACACAGAAAATTTTAAGCTGAAAATTTTAAGCACAGATTACTTCCATGACAATGTTGGCCTGATGCTATCGATGTTATGTGAACTTTGAAAGTTATGAGATACATGTACGAAACTATGGAACTTTAGTTTCCAGGCCACAACAATGACAAAGTCATGCAATGCTATCATATACATAGCATATTGTAGATATTCAAAATCCATGTCTGTTCATGTAATCAATATATTCACATCATGACATGATAAAAGGGCATACATAGTGCAATAAATATATATTTTAATGTATGTATAAAATGTACATTCATAATTTAATCAATTATAATGTACTTTGTCTCAAGAACAATAATGACTCACTATTGGCATTGACAGTTGGAAAATTTTCATTTTTAAGTCTTATTTATATTTAAGTTACAAAGATATTTTTGTACACTAATGAACAAAACTTTATAGAATTGTGTTTAAAAAAAGATCAAACCTGATTATAAACTTCATTAAATTATTCAGGAATTTGCTTATGTACTAACATGTTTTAATACACATATAGATGTGGGCAGGATATTTGATATGATTATTAGATATTTTTTAAATTTTTTTTATTTATTTCATTTATTTTGTTTGCTTAAAGTTAAATGTTTTCACTTCAAACAGTTGTATTGTTGGAATTTTTTTTATAATACAAACATGTGTATAAGATGTACAATTTTAGTCAATCAAATATTTTCCCCATTGTTTCACAAAATCAATTCAAAGAATGACTAAATATTCTTGTTTTTGCAACAATCCTTTTTTAGCATAGATATATCTGTAACTTAACATCAAAAGGTTACTGGTGAGAATAAGTAGGAAATTTTGAAGAATTGTATAATAATCTTTAGTATATGTACATAAACAGCTACTAATTGAGCATTCAGATAGTAATAACTATATGAAGTGCCATATTATTTCATTTGTGTATGTATTATTGTCTCATTGAAAATACTTTTAAAAGTGATGATAAATCATTTTTGTTTAGTTATTTTTTACATCCTGTATCTTGATCGTGTTAAAATATAGTACACGTCTGTGGCTAAGTGGTTAAGGTTGTTGGCCCCTCACTGTTGCGGGTCCAAATCTCAATCTTTCATGTGATAAAAGCTATCCAGCAAGATTACTGAACATCAGAGGTTCTACTCAGGTGCCTGTTTGTGCCTGAAATAATGCAAGGAGAGGCACCGGAGGTCTTCCTTCACCAGTAAAGCAGGAAAGTCGCCATATGACCTATACTGTGTTGGAAGAATATAGTACAGTGTGCTTCATATCCTGATAATGATTATAAGCAGTGTACTCTTGTTTACAGTTGAACAATTCCTACATTTGAAGATAATTGGAACAACTGAAAATGTGTGTGGCAGATAGGCCTTATCAAAGTACTTTGAAATTCCTAGGCCAATGTATTTGGAATAGATGGCCAGTTTTATGTTTTGTAAGAACATATTCTAGTAACCTTGACCCCTGAAAAATGGGTGAGACAGGTAGAACACAAATCAAGGTGTATCCACATATAAAGATTCAATGTAAATTGAAGAATGGCCATTAACAAAACCTAATACAAAAAGGTTAACACCAATGCAGAATGGGTCATGACAAAAGCACCCAATGTCTTTCAAAAACAGATGCTAAACACTGATTAAATATATATACTGGCCACATTTTAATCAAGTGAACTGGGGAATTTTAATCAAGTGAACGTGACTTGTAAATTCCCAAGTCTATTAATTGAAATTTCAGTGGGTTTCAAAGTTGATTATCAATTGAAAACAATAGTGGCAAAATCAGTGTATAAACAAATCTACTTTATTTTATCGCAAAAAAAAGTTTAAATTGAAATATATAGGCTCCCAGAAAAGGAACAGTGATTAGAAGTAAGTTATGCTTGTAATCTTGATACAGAGTACACATTAAATTGTTTAGACTTTCAAGACATATTATAGTGATTTAATCTACTGTGTTATTTTGACTTTAACCTGTTCAATTGCCATTTTACTTGGGTGGGGATATCACTCAATCTGACTCAAGTTCGGATCTACTTATTTCTTCCATGTAGATCCGACGACCACCGTGTATGTTTCGCCTTCTTTATAATTCAGATTACATGAAAAAAGCTATTTTTAGCCATGCAATCAAACCGGGTTGGGATCAGTTGGGAAATTCATTTAAATTTGTTTGTTTGAAAATAAATGTCCAAGAGCATAGATATCATTGCCAAGTAGACCTCTACAGAACTTGTAAACTATATAACTTGTGCAATTGGAATAAACAATGGGTTTGTCATTTAGGGCCATCAGGACCTTCTTTTTAGAATTGTTGCACTCTTTCTATTAAAAGAAAGAAACGGATCATTAATAGTGTACAAAGGTCACTCATTACAAATGGACCTTGAGGATGGGGAAATTTACTCATTATATTTAGAGATAAACACAACACAATTTCAATTGAAATACTTTTTATCAGTTATCACATGTGAAAGCACAAGCATGAAATAATTCTGTACAACATATTTCTCATTTATTTACCTACAATACATGCATGTTTTAAACACCTTGCAATACCTGTAAATTTCCAAAATAAAGTTACATAGGGTAATCATTATAAAATACTTTGTACAGTTGAATATACAAACAGCATTATCTTTGAAACTGTTTTAAATTGTTTTTCAAGGAACATAGAGAAAGGAAAGATCAAATACTTAACTTATCTATCATTTAACAAAGTATTGTCTGATGTATTGAAAACATACATGTATAGTAAAGTATTGGAGAGTGTTAACTTTTAGTGCAGTTATAATTCACACTACATACAAACTTGCATACAATGTACAAACTTATACAAAATATACATACAAAATAACTGAGAGGTGCGTATCCATAGAAACTTGGATAAAGTAAAGAACAAATCACCTATACTTTGATAATTTGTAGTCAATTAAATCATGATTTATCATCAAATTTAATATTAAAGTACTAAATCATTATGATTTTATGACAGATTTGCCCTGGGTTAAACTTCGAACAATTCATTTTCAGATGTTTCATATTTTGATGTCCATATATTACTCTCTGTAATACAAGACTAGGCTAGATCTGTACTAATGGTATGTATCTTATATTGCCATTAGTGCTGAGATATTTAATTGTTTATACACAAAATCGATTACAAAGTGCAAAATAAACAGTCACTTACAATCATGAAATATTTGACAAATATCACTGCTAACATGTTATTACATTGACAAAAGAATCTAGCCTTTACTTAAAAAAAACATCAAAAAGGCAAAGTACCGATTTTCTAATTGCTTTTAGTATAATTATAATAAATAAGGAAAGTGCTTTATCTATAGCTTTTATTAAAGTTATCTAAATTAAATATAAATCCTAAATGTCAGTGAAATATTGATAAATGCACACATTATCTATTCCTATAAGAAATATATTATGATGTCAATTATTATTTACTTTTTATAAATTCTATACATGCCTTGCAATTACAACAGCAAAATAAAACGACTTGCCACATTCACATTAATGACAGGGTAACTTTATATATTAATATTGAACTGTAAAATGTATGCTTTCACTAGTTATATCAATAAATAATGATAAATGTAATGGTGAAAAAAAGAAACCAAGTTAAAAAGGTATGTTAAATAACTGTTAATATAAACATCAATAAAAAACAAACAAACATTTAGTCTAAAATGAAAATGAATTTACTATTAATTTCTTTTTACACTTTTAAAGACTAACGATTTTTATACAGCATGATTTTTTACGTTTTACCACCTTCATTTTGCAGATACATATAATATATTTTTCTGTCAACACTAACAAGAATATCACCAGACTCTTGTATTAATGTTCTTCTTTCTATCAAAATTAACCATCACAATCATATGTGAGAAAAATGAAAAAAATGTGTGTGACAATTGATATGTGTTTCTCTCTTTTATAACACATAAAATGATCAATGAAGAATGAGTGTATTATTATAGTGATTTTAAGCTATCAAAATAATCTAAATACTTGAGATTAAAAAAAAAACCAAAGACAAGTTACAGTGGTTCATACTGCTATATTGCACATCAAATATTTGAATGTAAGCGAACATCTGGCACAATTCCACTGATATATGGAGCCTAGTATATAGCACAAAAACAAATATCAAAGTACTTATATATCAATGTTAATATTTTAACATCATTTCTGCAATATTTACTGCAGACCATCATAATTCTGTTGTATTCATTCAACAAGCATTCTGTATAACACGACGGTTACACTTTCTTGTCAGATTCTAAATCTTCTATATTTGTACGAGAGGTACATTGATTTCACCTCAGAAAGACACGAGTTGTGAACTTAAAATTATTCTATCCTGCTGTACAACATCAATTAAGATGGAAACCTTTTTCTCTAGTCGCAGCCAACAGTCTCTCACGCAGTATCTCTTCTGATGAATATTCTGGCAGTTTAAGATAATGTACACAAGTGTTAACAGATGGGAAACTCTTGTCGTCGCCATCTACCTTCCTCACGACAGTTAGACGAGGGTGAAGATTGGCAAGGCCCCCTGGTGGCAAGGAGGAACATCCTGTAGTAAATTGCAGGAAAGATTTACGCTCATCCGGACTTAGGTCAACTAATACATTTACCAGGCGCTGGAACACGGCACTGAAAATAAATCAAAACAATATCCTGATAAAATTTAATATCTTAGATAATTAACAAGAAGCTTTGCTATGAATCTAATATTTTACGCATGTCTTTGTCATGTATGAAATTTGTGGTGTTTGAAAATACACAGACCACTCAAAAATATTGTATTTTATTACAAATTATTCAGCTTTCAACAGTTACAAGAATTTTATTTCAAATATAAAAACATAAAGAACAAGATAATTTAATTTGTAAATTTAATATTATTTATTACTCATTTTTTACGGCATTTTTTTCTATTTATGGCACATGTTAAAACCATTTTATTCTTACCTATCTTTTGTATAGCCTAGTTTAGGGTCTGTGTAAGTCAGTATGTCTTCCTTCGTCCAATTAGGGGCTTGTTCACCGCACAATATAGTTCCTAGTTCTGTTGGTGAGAATGAATGCAACTTTTCCATGGGGAAAACTTTATTAAATCCAGCTGGAATGAGAAAATATACATAAATAAATATCGCAATGCTCAATGTTGACAGCATAACTTCATACTATAAATCTAGAAAATTCCCAATTATGCACTATCCAAATAGTAAAAGTTACATAAAACTTCTAAAAATATATCTTGTACTTGGATAAGCTTACAGAATCACTGGTGAAAGTTTATCTTATAACTGATGCAAGTAAGGGCCCTTGATTATTCACATAGAAATAAGGCTGGAAATGTTAGATGATTTTGCTGCTATGTTACTGTCAGAGTTATTTTTATGTTTATAAATTTGTTTCAAGTCAAATACAGAAAATGAGGACTGTATAACAACATTTAATGAAATCAATTTTAACTCAACACAAAAGAATGAATATGTACCAATTAAACAACAAACACTTGGTGGCCTTAAAAATACACAACAATTGTATACATGAATCAGTAGTTTCGTTAATAAGCGGTACTTTATTGTTTATTAGAAAACTGTATGAAAATATTACACTTACCTCTGAATGCATCCATCTGTCTACGTAAGCCAGAATTAAGGCAGAGGTCATAAACTAGATCAGTGTACTCCTCTACATTCTGCAGTGTCACTTCCTGTAAATATGTCAAAATATTCCTAATGTACAACATATCAGAAACAAAACCAGAATTTCATTTGTAACATACATCATTCAAAGTCAATCAATGCTACATTACAACAGGTATTTTCTTAAGAGTAAGAAACCATATTTTATATACATTTTTTTCTATTTTTTTGTCTTACTTTTTTATCAAAAGCTTTTCTGTTTAAAAGAAAGTAACACAATTTTTCTGTTTATTTATCTGCCTATTACTTCTGATTGAAAAAAAAAGTTTAATAAAGTAATAGAATAGAAAATTTTATTGTTTCCCAGGTAAAAAGCTTATTACTTCTTATGGAGAGAAAAACAAAACGTCTCCTATCAGTACAGTTTATTATAAATATTAAACTATCACTAAATATATATAGAATACATAGAGCTATACATACCTCATCTTCACCGTCAGGTTTGAGGTCTATTGCTGTAAATCCATACTTCTTAGATGATGGATTGAACTGGAACGTTAGTCTACAATATAACAATCATATACTTGTACACACTCCCCTTTAACACAATACATGTAAGTTATCAGAATAATCAACCATACGTTTACCTGGTCATGTTTACATCTGACAATTTTTGATACCTGTATGTCTTTCATTAAGTTTTCAATCAAATGTTTTGTTACTACGAACTGTATAATAATGTTTCAATAAAGACTAGATCTAAATGAACATTGTAGAATTTTAGCTTTTTCATATTCCTTAATGCTTCCTAAATAAACAGCTCTCATAAACTTGCTTTACTGTATAAATTGACATCATTACATTATTTCAAGCGCTGTATGAAATTTATAATGTTTGACTTCTCAATATATGGAGATTAACATGTTTAGGAAGTGTGGTAAGATGTCTTACCCTAAATCTTCAAGGAAGACTCCTGCTGATGGAATCCTGGGATCAGGTAGGGCAAGTTCTTGTAGACAAATATTCTTCTTGTCCTCTGACATTGTCTTATCTTTCATTATCCTCTGTTTTTTGGCTGCCAGTTCTCGTAATTGTTTCAGGAATCCTGACCTGTGTGGATCTATAATATCCATGTCGTCCTCACAGAGTATTCCCTCGTACCACGGTGGTACCATCGGATGACGAGGCTTTGGTGGATCGAGAATTAATTCTTTATCAAAGTCTTCTCCAGTAAATATCTCACTACCTTCACTAGTTACAGATTCTGTCATGTTACTGGAGGTCTTTGCTAGAGATAGAGTGTACTGTTGTGTTATATTATGGCCAACTTCACCCATACACATTAACTTTAAGAATGGTACAGACAGGGGCAGGTCTATAAGGCGATTGTCTTGTATACACTTGGCTAATAATATACCTACAAAGTGGAATAAATTTTCTATTCTATCAAGATCAGCACAGTCTTGTGGCCATGGGGCGGGAAACAGGCCCCCTGATCTCTGAATATAGAATCCTCTAGGCTTAACACCTTCACCAATATCAACCTGAAATAGTCAAAATATTTCATGCCAAATTTACGTCTCACTAACAACCTTCAAAGTTTATTGACACTATATAATGAGATATATAATGAGTCCAATACTGCTTCTTCATCATTTATTGTGACTTTCTTCATTCTTAATAACTGTACATTAATCTTACTTTCTCTAATGTACAATTGTTGTATTCTTCATCAAAACAAGAAACAAACATCATTAACTATGTCTAATCTAATTTAATATACATGTACCTAACCATGGAATTTGTGTAATCAAGTATTTGTGTTGGTTTGAATTTGAAATCCGGAGGGTTTTTTATTTCTGACTTGTCAAGATTAAAATTACTAAATTCAGGCAGCCAATGGCATGGAGTGTGATCTGAGTTCTAAGTAATGCAAATTGGCTTAATCTATACTTTTGAAATTGGCCTGCTCTCATTGCCACCAGCACTTAAATTTTCTCACTAAAATTCATTATGATATTACAAAATATGATGGTATATATATTTACATCTCGTTCAATCTCTTCATGGAAGTCATCATCATATAGCCACATGCCAATATTAGTCTTCTGTAACTCTGCGGCTACCAGGGCGTAGAACTCTAGAGTAGGTCCGAGTCCAGTACCTTCCTCTCCATTGAACTCTATCTCCAGTACAGACTTTCTCTGTGCATGGAACTTCAGCATCTGTAATAACAACAAACTTAGTTTATACAAATCCTTGCAGTCTGACTGAATTCTATACTGTTGACTAACATCAAATTTTTATCTTGTTATCCCTAAAACTGCCAATGGGCAGTTCCAAAAATGAAAAATGGTTATGCCTTTTTTTAAAAAATTCAGAGGAAAAGGGCTAAAGTAAAAAAACATTGTAAAACCTTTTTGGTTAAAGGGCGGAAAAATAAAACAATAAAAAATTTAAAAAAAGAAATTTTTATAAATCAATAGTAAAACATTTTTCCCTTAGGGAAAATACTTTTTATTTTTTAAATACCTAAACCCCCTATACTTTAAATCAATGAAACATTTTAAAAGGTGTTTAAAATAAAATTTTTTCCCCAATTTCCCATTCTAAACTCTCCCCCGGGATTTTCTCTTTATGTTTGAGACGTCCTACTCTGTATTCACCACCATCATCTCTACGAGGTACAGGGCCACGATGACGTTCTAAATGCTGATCTCTCTTACCTTGAAGCCACACTATTGCCCTGTTACATGAATAATTAAAACTTATCAGTCAGTAGCATAACTAACAGAAAGCTGTCAGCACAAGTTTAGCAATAATACTTCAAGGACAACTATGAACAAGGTGCAAATTAAAATTTCGCAGCCATTGCTCCGTTACAAAAAATGAAAGAAAAGGTCTGCTGTAACTTAGCTACAAGGAATGATTTGTAAAGAGAATATTAATCATTTAAAGAGAGATCTCCCCTTTCTGGAATTATTTACTGAAATACATCACTTTTTACTTTTATAAAATGTCTAACAGCTGTTATCCTGAAAAACACTACAACTCACAAATACTTAGTCTTAAATATTATATATTAATATATAAGAAAATTTACCTTGAAGTTCCAAAAGCTGTACAAGTAAAGTAGAGCTGCCTAGTTTCAAACGTAAACAACATGGGACACCATTTTGTCATACTCTCACACCAGCTTGGTAATGCATTACTTGCCAGGACAAGAGGATCCTGAAAGTATTGTGAAAGTTTTGTTATTGCACGATCTTATAAAAATCATAATTCTTTATATTCATTTTAAACTTTACATATATTTAACTCTTTTAACAGCATATAACAATATCACTCAATAGTAACAACACAATTTAATTTAAAACTTTTAAATTATACCACCATGTAGTAAAATTACCACTTCCAAACACTAGTTCATGTACTTCAAGTATTTACAATACTCTCAAGTAGTTTCTGCAAGGCAGCTCAGAATCACAGACAATTCTGTCATACAGCCAAATTTCAGTAAAATCTGGGCTAGGACAGACAAGAAATGAAAATGAAATGTCTTACATACAGTTAGACAGACATGAAGATTTCAAATACATTATTATATACCCATGTGAGGGAAAGAGTTTTAAATCAATATTACCATTTGCTATCTAATTGAGTTTACCTTTGTCTGCTGAACCAATTTGTTTGTAGCTTTCTTACTAACAAATTCTTCAACACTCATGTTAAGTGACATATCCATATTGTCTGAAAATATAAATACATTTAACATACAAGTCAGTTTATTATAAGTGACACAAAATCAACATTTTGTAAATATTCAAACAATAATCTAATTATTTTGTGTAATTGACTAGCAATCCTGCAATGCTTTAAATTTGGAGCTGTGCATTTTCATTATAATGGTTTTAGATTCAAGAAGTTAAAACAGTGTAAACTGGTGTCATATACAAAGTCATTACCCTCAATAGCATTAAACAAGGTAAATAGGTATAAAAATATATATTAAAAAAATTTCTGACAACATTAATACAAAAATAATTTGTCATTCCATACAATATATCTTAATCTTATACAGATATTAGCAGTAACATGTTTATCTCTTTGAGGTATTAAACTAGAGTAAATATTGCCTGTCTTTTAAGTAACAGTAAATAATGAATGGAAACAGACATGATTTTAATTATCCCTTGTCATCATTCAACAAAGCTTTATCATTACCGTATTTATTATTGCTAACGCCCTGTTCCATGGAGAGAGCATACAGTCTCTGTAACAATTTGAGGACATGATCTACAGTGCAGGCTATAGGGTCGTTACTTCTTGGTGTTTCCCATTCATTGAGAATCTGTATAGTACCAGTAGATTCCTTCATGTTTAATTCAGACTTTGTCTCACCATCTTTTAATTCTCTATACATTATACTGCAATAAATAATAATATTACTTATAGCTGTTTCTACAATATACTATCTCCAGTAAAAATGTTTAACGAATTTTCTGGGTAAATTAATAACATTTTTAACAATTCAGGGATCATTACTTTGTATTACTTTTGAATGTACTCGTAAATGAGCAATTTCAGCCCTAAGTTACACTGACTCAATATCACAATAATAAACAAAACATCCAAGAATTGAAAAATTCCTCAATGCAGATAATTCATTTCAAACAGTTCATAACTTCAAAATAAAGACTTAACCAGGTGTCACAACAAATATGCATTATAATTGTGATATAGTTACTGACACAGGTCAATTTTAACCTTTACCTTGCTAAATATCTTAAATGGACTTGTCCAGCTTTAAATCTGAACAAAACCAGTCATCATTTTTAGTGAAAATTTCCAAACAAATACTAAATAGCTACATGTAAAACAGTGCTGTCATTGATCAGACAGCACAGATTAGCCAGCTGATTTTGATCTCCACTGGTTGAAAAGGTAAAACCAGGACACTTTGTTGTTGTTCCTTAGATTTACAATGCAATATCGTTCATTAAAACACCCAAGATAAAATACAGGGGGCCAAAAATACATCAAAGTTTGAAAGTAAGAAATATTGTACTTACGTATATGTTGGTTCCCAAATTCTTTTCAGTCTTTCATTTCTATTTCCTGTTGAGCCAGTTACCAGTAATTGTTGAATATATCTAAATATACATGAATTGTCTTCTACTAGAGGCAGATCATCATCTAGAACCTAAAACAGAAAATAATATTTGAAAAAAACTTGTTTATTTTTTTAATAGCATTAAGAGCTATTGGTATGACAGCTTGATCAACTATTTATTTTCAGAGCTTGATAGTAAAACAAGAGCCTGGGTAATGTAGAAGTCAAAAACAGGGACATAATTCAGTCAAAATCCATTTAAGAGTTATGAGTCATAGACAGTGACTCATAATGCTCTCAAATAAGTATATGAAGTTTTAACCCATTCCTTTCAGTAGTTCTGGAGAAACCAACTTGCACTCAAAAACTTAACCAAAGTGTGACCCTGACACTTGGATGAGTACAACAGCTCTCCCTTTTTTTCAAATAGTCGAGCTAAAACTCAATTATAAAATGATAAACTGCAGGTTAAAAGTGATGTTTGGAAGCACTATAAATTGTCCTGTATTTTATTTCAGTGTTATCATATTTATCTTGTGGGGGGATAGTAGAGAAGGATGTTGTATTCTCTATCACCTTGTATAAACAGACTTAAACAAATAATCTGTAAATTTTATGGTGTTTTTGTGGCTTTCTGAAGATCACGCCTTTCTAGAATTATTCCAAGTGTCCTATAAGTGAAGTTACATACATTTAGTATGCTATTAAATGAGTAGTTCAGTATATCAAAATAAAATGTACTTTTCAATATATAAAATACAACATACCCCAGGAAGTGACATTGGTGTTTTCAGGTAGAGGACAATTTTCGGCTGCTCAGATTGTTCCTTCTCTTGTTTTACAGCAGTCTCCCCTGACCCTTCAATAAAATATATACATCTTTGAGAAATCATTTCTGAATTTTATTTATTCTTATAAACATAACTAGACCTATCACTGAAGGTGATTAATACCCCCACCAGCAACTTTGATATTTTGAAAAATAAGTAGTCTGAAGAAAAATTTGAACACAAACTATCAACTGTGTACAAAGAAATATTTCAATTAATTGTAATCCCAACTGGGGTCTCCAAATAAGCTTGCTTTTCACATAGTTTGATTACAATATCTCATTCCTAACTCTAGTTATTGTCCGAAAACCATTTTTCTATTTTTAGTAACACTGTAAAGGTGACCTTGACCCTAAGGGATCCAAATGCAATACCAACCCAGGTCTTTATATAAGCTTGCTATACACCAAGTTTGATTACAATATCTCATTCCTAACTCAAGTTATTGTCCGAAAACCATTTTTCTATTTTTAGTATCAGTAACCTTGACCTTGACCCCAAGGAGTCCAAATGCAATACCAACCCAGGTCTTCATATAAGCTTGCTATACACCAAGTTTGATGACAATATCTCATTCCTAACTGTACTTATTGTTCGAAAACCATTTTTCTATTTTTAGTAATGGTGACCTTGACCTTGACCCCAGGGGGTCCAAATGCAATACCAACCCAGGTCTTCATATAAGCTTGCTATACACCAAGTTTGATAACAATATCTCATTCCTAACTCTAGTTATTGTCTGGAAACCATTTTTTCTATTTTTAGTAATGGTGACCTTGACCCCAGGGGGTCCAAATGCAATACCAACCCAGGTCTTCATATAAGCTTGCTATACACCAAGTTTGATAACAACATCTCATTCCTAACTCTAGTTATTGTCCGGAAACCATTTTTTCTATTTTTAGTAATGGTGACCTTGACCTTGACCCAGGGGGTCCAAATGCAATACCAACCCAGGTCTTCATATAAGCTTGCTATACACCAAGTTTGATAACAATATCTCATTCCTAACTCTAGTTATTGTCCGGAAACCATTTTTCTATTTTTAGTAACGGTGACCTTGACCTTGACCCCAGGGGGTCCAAATGCAATACCAACCGGAGTTGCCACATAAGGTTGCTATATACCAAGTTTGATTACAATAGCTCATTCTAAACTCTAGTTATCGTCCGGAAACCATGATGTGGACCGACCGACGGACGGACCGACCGACCGACCAACCGACCGACCGACAAGCTGACTCCTATATACCCCCCCTAAACTTCGTTTGTGGGGGTATAATAATATGTAAAAGCTTGATAAAGTCCTAAAAAAAACTGTAAGGGAAATCATCAACAAGAATCTCGTGTGTGATTCAGCAATGCTCACAGGGTGAAACATGTGAGTATCACATTACAGACGGTTAGACCTACTCATGGGAAATTCCAAACTCATGATTACTTGAAACTTTGCAATATATGTTCAACAAACATTTGGTCAACTTATTGCAGTAACAGGTTTACTCCTATTGAAATTTAACAGTATTTTGCCCGTTACATTTTAAAAGATGACAATTTAAGTTATGTAGTGAAAAATATAAGATAATAAAACAGATAAACCTCTACATAATGTTCTACTCATTTGAGCTAATTTCTTTTATGTGTAAGTTGTAAGGTGGATCATGAATATACTTATAAACATTAATTCATCTAACATCATTTTGTTAAAAATCATTTTCAACATATAGTTATAAGTTAATATATAAACCTGGCTGCGGTATCTCCACATCTTGTGTTTGATTGACATTTGTACGTCCTGGTCGAGGATCAAACGCTGGTATTAGAGCTGAGAACTGTCTCTTCAATACAAACTCATCATCCCATGTCTTCTTTCTTTCTCTACTTAACTCTACATCATCATCCTGCGGATATAAAACTTCTACTATCATGTTTTGAAACATATACTCAAATACAACAAAATATTTTACTATACACATATCTAAAATAACTATTTTGAAAACCACACACAAAAAAAGATCAAAACTGTCAAAACAAACTTTTAAAACATGAATGTTTACACTTTTTTTAGCAACATATATTAATTAAAATTTAAAAACATTTTAAAATGCCAATCTATCAAAATAATGCAAATCTAATATCAAATTTTTCATTGAAAAGGTTTACAGGCAAATCTTCTGCAGGAAAATTTCTGTTAAAAAAACACAGATGTAAATCTTATATTTCCCATGCAATTAACATTCTCCTATAAATTTATGCAATTAACAACTCCAGTAATGATCAATACTCACCACAGTAAGTACATCATCATACATATCATCATCTTCATTTTCATCATCATTTTCATCATCATCATCATCTGGTTCGGGTAATTCATCATCATCTTCGAGGTCAGTGAGGAGCGATGTTGGACGACAAGTCTCCAGAAATTCATTGTCACTCTCACTAGATGTTGATGTCAAACTTCGTGTCAAAGCCTGATTGAAAACATAAACTTGTTCATTTTATTCTTTAATTATTTCTTGTATTTAGTCTTTAGAATTACCCCTAACTATTTTTGTAATGTTAATTTCCCATAGGCCACTGGGAGTTATTGATACTGTTAATGCAAGTGAACCATGTGACTAAGAAATTTGTACAGTTACATAGGTAACACCCCAGGTAACAGTGATATTTTTACTGTTACCCACAAACCCATGTGTTATTTATATATTTTCAAAATATGTCAGTAATTTTCTTTTGTACACTACAGTGACATTGATCAAGAAATATAAAATCTAATTAAGCTACGAACATAAGTATTCTTTCTAGAACAATTTAAATGTGGATACTGCACATCACAAAGTATAATTATATTAAATCATATGTGTTTTCTCCAATATTACCATTAGTTTTAACTTTGACAGAGGCTAACAAATAAGACTATACTCAAAATAGTATGGATATTATTTTGAGCTGAATATGCCATCAGGATATCTCGGTAAGATATACTGGATACAGCCGGATCTTCAAGTTGTTATTTTATTCTTAGTTCACTGATATGACGTAACCATTTTAATGATAAATGAAATGTTTTACACAAATATTTGGACCTGAAATTGAAGCCAGACTCCAAATCATGATTCAAACTTTTCAAATAATGCTTACCTGACTTAATGAAGTCACATTTGCCATTGTCTGTGTTGTTGTCAGAGTGTTTGATGTATTTGTCAGAGATGTTGTCAGATTTGGAAAACTCTGGGCAGCCGACAATAAGGTATCTACAAAAAAATGTTATCAAAATATAAATATTGATATAACATAAAAAGGTTGACTGTATGATGAAGTTTAAACACAAGAAGTAAATCTATTTAACTAGTTAGTAGTATTTTCTTTTGTAGTATTACCTGTGATTAAAAGAAAAATGCTGCAGAAGTCACACTGTAACATTCAAAAAAATTCAATGATTTCACTGTTTACATTAAAAGACCGCTGCTCACATTAAAAGAATACTCTTTACATTTAGAGGACACTCTATATATCACTACATTATAAGGTCACTCTTTACATTATGTAAGGCAAGACTTAACAAATTTTTTAACTGGAGATTAACAAATCCACTGAAACCCTACAATTGAACAATTATCACGCCAAATTCATTTCCATGACAATGACAAATGACACAATTAACGAAAGAAATGTAAATAATTCTATATGTGTCTATCCATATCGTAAGTATTTATATCCTCAAACATATTCACAAAGTTTCGTCTACAAATACATTCAACTTTAAATACGTAAATACTCCTGTACAATTTATTAACATTCAATACTTCCTCTTTCTTGGAAGAAAATTAAGTGAAAATTTATCAAATATGAAGAAATATAGGGGTACATTTCAGTTCTATTTATCAAAAATGATATATTAAACTTCCTTCAACTGAAAGGGAGCAAAAAACTCCCAAAAGAAAAGAAAACATGAAGAAAATAACAAAATCATAGTTGAGTGCTATATTTGTTTAAATGTTTATAGTTTTATTCCATTTGTTATGAATTTACGATTTCGATGATGTATTAAATAAGGAAACAATAAAGTCAGATGATTCAGTAATTTATGTCAATGACTGAGAGTGCATAACTAACATTTTATCATGCAGTGTTTATCACTATCCATCACAATGTCAAGAGTATCAACAATTTTGTGTGATGTTGACTTTCATTTTCAACGTTTAAGTGATTATTAAGTACTATCCTTATTCTCATATTGTTAAATATACTTTGTAGCTGCATGTACATTATATTTTAGATACACATGATTATGTACACATCCACATGATTTCAATAATGTGTGTACATTATCATAGGAGTTACATATACCATTTGATTTTAGTTGTTCTTTCACAAGTGCAGAATTTCTTATTGTGCCCAGGTACGGCCATCTGTTCTCATGTATCGGATATAGCTCTTACGTACTTGAGCTAGAGTTAACAAAGTTTACAGGAATGCTGATCAGCATGATTGTGAAGTTGTGCACCTGAAGTTTTGCTTTTGGACCAATTAAGTTTTGTCAAAGTTAGTGCCCTTGACTAAGTAAAAACTGGCAATTTTCAGTTTGTGTCATGCGTAGCTCAAAAAGTTTTTGACCTAAAGTCAACAAACTTTACAGAAATGTTTGTCAGCATGTCAACTTGTGCACCTGGTGGTTTGCTTGTGGATTTTTTCAGTATTTGTAGAGTTATTGTCCTTGACTTATAAAAATTTGCAATTTTCAACTTGTCTCGCTTTCTCCAAAAATAATGAAACTTTACAAAAATGTAAATCAACATGTGAAGCTGCGCACCTTGGGTTATACATTTGGATTTTTTCCATTTTGTTACAGTTTTTGTCCTTGGCTAAGTGTAAATTTGCAATTTTCAAGTTGCTTCTGTGAAGCTCAAAATTTAACAGTATTTGACCTGGAGTCCTGAATGTTTACAGGAATGTTTGCCAGCATGTTAAGTTATGCACCTGGGGGTTTACTTGTGGATTAATTCAGTATTTGTAGCATTTGTGCCCTTGACTTAGTAAAAGATTTGCAATTTCAAACTTATGTAATGTGTAGCCAAAAATATATTTGATCTAGAGACAGTAGACTGACAAAACAGTGTGGGGGCACTCTTGTCCTATGGACACATTTTTAAGTCCTATGTTGTTTATATTGGTGAATAAAGGATTAGATATGCTATAGTTATCATGTTTGTATCCTCTTTTAAGATAAACAGGCCTTTAATGTGGTTAAAAAAAATATAACTGCCATTCCAAGAGTAAGCTATGTAAGATCATACATATAAACTTATCTGTCTCCTTATATATCTCATATACAACTGTCCTACCTTAGAAGTGCTTAAGAAATAACTTGAAAAATGTTGAAAAATGATGAAGGATGAAATATTGTTGAAACAGAATGATGGATTTTTTAAGATGATATCTATTTTTTACATTGTCAAAGCCTTTTTCTAAGTAAAGCTATGAATTTAAATGAACCTTACTGCACAAACCTGTCCAATCACTGGGAGAGTTAGGTGGTAACAATCTAACCAGATTACTACTCCTCAACATGTTATTGCCAGCATTTCTACGTGCCACGGCAGCAAATGTTTCCAGTAGACTCATAGACTGTTCCATGCTGGCTGGCAGGTTAGGTACACTAACAGACATTGGGTTGGTAGGTGAAGTACGAGTCTGAGCCTCAGTCTTACTGGCATTTACTTGATTTGTCCTCTCTACAACCTTCACCTCAGCTTTAGCTTCAGCTGAAGCACCTGCAATGTAATATATGAAAATACAGTCTAATCTTAAGTTTTGTAGTTTTTTTTTCAACCAAATATATAAATCTCCACAATTTAAACTTTTTTTTTGTATCTATTGTCATATTAGACAATATAATTATCAATTTCAAAATTACCATATGAAATGAATTAATTTCTGACAAATTAATTCAGTATTAAAATGATAAAATACCAGAATTATCAGAACTTATTTCATGCTTTCCAGTGTTTTATTGTAATATAATCAGATGATTATATTCTGATAAACCACTAGTGAAATTTATAAAATATAATTTTCACTGTAGCCGGACTATATCTGAATGCGGATGAAAAGAAAATCAAAACTGAATGGAATAACAGGCAAAAATAAATGCCGTCATGCGTAAATTTTGCTTCTTTCGGAAAAGAAAGTCGATGTCACCATACATTATGCTAAAAATGTAACAAAATTAGAGAAATTTAACAGAACTATATTTCAAATTTGTTGATGTGACGTCATGATGTGATGACGTCACGAAGGAGAATGCGCGACGTTACGCGGCAAAATCAGTAAAAATTACTTAAAATTACTTAAAACGCATGAAATAAAAAGAAAATTTATTTGATTTACATATAAGATTGAATTATATTTCATTCGTGAACACCAGCTATTATATTTTCACTCGTGGCTACGCCACTCGTGAAAATATTGCATCTGGTGTTCACTCAGTGAAATTATATTTCAATCTTACATGCAAAACAAACAAATATCCTCTATATCTATATCACTGACCTTCATTTTTGACCTCCACACCAGCCAGTTCCTGTTCCTGGGCATGTTCTGACTGTGTCACTATGGCACCATCTCCCTGGGCATGTACTAGCACTGTCGGTTCCGAGGGCTGGGAGGGTTCCTCTTGTAAACTATTATTATCAAAGTCAAGTTCATCCTCTACTGTCTGCAATGTGACCTTTACCCCCGAGTCAGAGGTCGCCAGGTTCATCATGCTCTCGGCTAGATTCTCAGCAACCTGGAAAATAAATATCAAACAATGAAACTAGCTGGATTTACCTATCCCTGCTATATATTACAACTATATAAAAAGACTTCTTTTCATTTGAAGTAACAACTTGAATATTTTCGATAGTGACATTCACTTTTAAAAAACATTATTTCAAATCATTTTAACAAAACATCAGTGAAAACCACCGTATCACAACTTCATCAAGGTTATGATGAAGTTGTGATGAAGTTATTACATAATCCTCTAATTATTTAATTGCTACAATGAACTCTCTATTAGCCATGTGAAATGTACATATTCTTATGTTTGTTTATCATAATTCATACATACATATATCTATTTGATTGTGTTCTTAGCTGTCTCATTTCACTAAATCATAAAGAAACTATATATGTGTCACTCAAATGCCGATTACCTAACATTCCACTGTTGTCTATGGACTGACAGTAGGACAGGGAGACAGAAAGACAAAACGGCAAATTGTTATGCTACTTTAAGTATTGGATCATAAACAAGAGCTGTCGGTAGGACAGCAACGCTCGACTATTCTAGTGCTTGATAGTAAAAAATAATGCTTGATACAGTTACCTCCTCCTGTTTACAGGTTGGGGTAATGATGGTGAACAAGTGTGCAAAGTTTCAAAGCCATATGTCAATGGACTTTGAAAATATTTGAACTATTACAAAAACTTTAACGTAAATTCTAAGTCGAAAAAGGGGCATAATTCTGTCAAAATGCTTGATACAGTTACCTCCTCCTGTCTACAGGTTGGGGTCATGATGGTGAACAAGTGTGCAAAGTTTCAAAGCCATATGTCAATGGACTTTGAAAATATTTGAACTATTACAAAAACTTTAACGTAAATTCTAAGTCGAAAAAGGGGCATAATTCTGTCAAAATGCTTGATACAGTTACCTCCTCCTGTCTACAGGTTGGGGTCATGATGGTGAACAAGTGTGCAAAGTTTCAAAGCCATATGTCAATGGACTTTGAAAATATTTGAACTATTACAAAAACTTTAACATAAGTGGTTACGCCGACGCCGACGCGGACGCGGACGCTTGGGTGAGTACAATAGCTCTACTTATTCTTATCGAATAGTCGAGCTAAAAACATGTGCCATGTCAAGGACAGAAACTTTTTAATCTAATATTCATAGACCAATACTGTCATACTGAACTTGACTAGATTGGTGGACTTCTTAAGAAGCCAAATATATTGTTGTTGTATTTCATGAAACATCTAAGGGAGACAACTATAAACTTACAGATTTGACAGTTTGAGTGAGATTATCGGCTGAGGCAGCTTGTTCCGTGGCAGCTACAGACGGTTTATTATCATTTACTTCATTCAGACTTGGTGTAGAACTGCTCTTTCTACTTGTTAATACACTCATCTATAAATACAAGGTTCAAATTCTATCATTATATATATGAAATGATTTAAAATATTAGACTCCCAATTAACTTTATTCATCATTAAAATAAAGTGATTTAAGCTCTTCAAATTTTATTTAGTGATGTACACAATGCTCATTTCAAACAAAAGATTTTACATTGCAAATTCATTTATTTCCACTATAAAATGATTTTTATGGAGAAAATGGTGGACAAATACAGAATTTAAAATGCCAAATGTCTATTGACATAAAAACAAGACAGTAAAATAAGATTTGTGGTATAATATAGGTGACATACTTTTGTTTTATCACCAACAGCCGAGGTAACTTTGACCTTGACCCCACCTACTGCTCCTTGTTCTACTTTAGGAAGGGGTTTCAATCTTTCAGGATCATGTGAGGCTGCTAGTTGTAGATCATATTTGCCCTCAGCTCCCATACGGTACGAGTTGGATCCTCCTGAATCCCAAGTTACATCGATCCAACCTTGAAAATAAAGTACAAATTAATACAAGTACCAGCAAAAATTCCTCGTTTTACATAATTAGTTATTATTTAGCATGTATACAATATAAGTGGTGAAATGAAATACAAATTATCAAATGCATGACAAGTTGTCAAATACAATACTTGTTGTAAATATTGCATTGACTGTCATACGTTGATGTAGAAAAACCATAACTTCATTATCATTTTTACAACTATAAATAATTATCAACACTTCTTATTATACTTACTTACTTCCCTGCTTTGTTAAAAACCTACAAATAATTCACAATTCAAGCAAATTCACAATTCAAGTAGTGAATATTTTACCATTATGAAGTTCTCCAGACACAGTTCCCTCCCCTGGTGGGTTACCATCCTGGTCCCTCCATTTCCAGTCCATGCCTCTAATAACCCGGGCACCAGGTGACATCTGTTTTAATACATGTGTTCTAATATACCTCCTCTGTCTTCTTAATACTGCCTCCGCTTCCTTAGCTGCCTTACCTGTTAACATTACATAACTTATTACATTGATAGGAATGTATAACAACAATGCACAATAGTACCATTTTTTAATATAATCACTCTCGAAATTCTGGAATAAAAACAAATGATGTCAGTAGGACAGCCAACTAGACTATTCTCAGTGATAGTAAAACAAGAGCCTGGATAATTTAGAATTTTCTATTTTCATAACAGGGCATAATTCTGTCCAAATTCATATTAGAATTATGCACCATGGACAGTGAACTCCTCTTAAGTTTTTTTAATAAGTGTGTGAAGTTTCAACAATTCCCTTCAGTAATTTTGGAGATACCAACCTAAGTGTGTCAGCAATGCTTGGACTGGTACAATAGGTCTCTATATTCTTTGAATAGTTGAGCTAATGGGCCAAAAAAATTAAAATATTTCAGAATCTAAATTATAACATTATGATGAGTTTTAAGCATAATTCAAACTCACTCCTTTAGATATTACACTTTTGAAGACCAAATATTATTGGAACTAGCAAGTTTTTTTGTTGTTTTTTTTTCCCAATAATTATTGCATGGAACAAAATGCACATAGCTAATTTTAGAGAAAAAGTTGAAACACATTTATACAATCGTCATCTTACCTAAATCATCACAAACCCCTGTAACAGTGCCGTAAATCTCAAACCCAGATAGAGACAGGTAATGTGTTTGACCACTTGCATTCTTCCCATTCTGTTGAATCCTAATATGACGCCAACCCTGGGTCTCTTCTTTTGGAGGAACAAGAGGCCAAGAGCCTGTTGACCTGTTGGGAAAAACAATATCAAGTTTACACATTCCATCTACAGGTCTTGAGCAAATGAAATTTATCACATTTAAAAATTTAAACTTCAAAATAGCTTTGAAAAATATCAATCATAAATTATATGCAAAAATTTATATAATGTATGAAACAGTCTGGAACTTCAATCTATAAGAAACTTTATCTGTTACCATTTGGGTAATGGAAAGAAAAGCTTAAGATTTAATATTCATTGTAGATCTTATTACATACTTTCCTCACACATCTGATATTTTTAACTTTATATATGTCTGTACTTGTATCTGAATAGATAAACTTGACTTACCCAGGATCACTGAGAGTTGAATCATTTTTATGATCCAACAGCGTCGTCCATGTCTGACCATCTTTAGAAACTTGCAACAACCAATTTCTAAGAGCTGACCTTAAAGACAAAAATTAAAATAATAGTTATTGCATTATTTCAGCCAAATTTTTATCTTGTTCAACTTCAACCCGTAACCTGCTTTATTTCAGTAATGTATCAGTCCATTCAAAGTTCAAGGGATTTCAATATCAAATACAAAAGTTAAGCTGCCACCAGTATAGAGCCGGGTCAGTCTGTATAGATGTGCAGGCTGGCCTGTCTCTATACTGGTGGCAAAGGCTGATCACTTTTGGTTCCAGCAGGTTAGGGGTTAATGTCATTTCCTTAATCTATTTAGTAAATATCTATGTGCAAATAAAAAAGAACTATCATATCAACAAAAAGAAAATAAAATCTATGCTTCTTTAGTTTTTATCATATAAATTAGCAAAATGCTTTATAAATATTATAATATTTCAATAAGCTTTCATTTTATCAATGTTAACCCTACTGATACTGATTCTACTCACTACATTCACTGTGAATGAAGTTTACATAGGAAAGGTATTCCTGTGTGACCATGGTTGTCATTCCACATGATCTATAAATATTTTATGAATGAAAGAAATAAGAATCTAGCTTGTTATCAAATTACCTGCCATATCCTCTAGCATGTCTTAGAGTATAATTTGATGGTAGAATCCACACACCTAGATCTATTGCAAACCAGGCTTTCCTGAATAATGAAACACATATAAATAAAATAAAGTAAAATATACCAGATACACATTGTCTGGGGTATAGTGTGAAACCATCTCCTGTCATTATAACTATTTACATTAATTTACAGTAAACTGTGCAATGCTCTGTTAAATGACATTGCACCAATCAACATAAAATTTAACAGGTAACTTCAACAAAATATCTCTAAGATATCAATCTATAAATAAAGCTTTAAGTAAGTGTGACATAAATATTGACAGGAAAAATGACAATTTGGCAACAAAGCTCACTGTAAAAACTTTTGTCACAGCACCATCACAAAATTAAAATTGTAATTATGTTTGCTCCGAAGTTTGCACATATACGACAAAAACTTTAAAAACACTAGAAATGTGTCCATAGGACACTGATGCCCCCACACGCCACTGTTCTGTCAATCTTATGACTCTAGGTCAAATATTTTTTGGACTACATGTGCCACAAGTTGAAAACTAAAAATCAACAAAGGGCCATAATTCTCTTAAATTTGGTCGCAGCAAAAAATCCTTCCTTTACTACGATCTACACATTAAGGTTGTTAATCCCTGGAAGTTTAAGCAAAATCTACCATCCGATTTAAGAGGAGTTGCGTTCACAAAATTTCTACATTGTATAAAGTGAAAAAATCAACAAAGGGCCATAATTCTGTTAAATTTGGTCGCAGCAAAAATTCCTTCCTTTACTGCCATCTACACCTTAAGGTTGTTCATCCCTGTAAGTTTAAGCAAAATCTGCCATCCGGTTTAAGAGGAGTTGCGTTCACAAAATTTCTACTTAGTATAGAGTGAAAAAATCAACAAAGGGCCATAATTCTGTTAAATTTGGTCGCAGCAAAAATTCCTTCCTTTACTAGCATCTACACATTAAGGTTGTTCATCCCTGTAAGTTTAAGCAAAATCTGCCATCCGGTTTAAGAGGAGTTGGGTTCACAAAATTTCTACATAGTATAGAGTGAAAAAATCAACAAAGGGCCATAATTCTGTTAAATTTGGTCACAGCAAAAATTCCTTCCTTTACTGCCATCTACACATTAAGGTTGTTCATCCCTGGAAGTTTAAGCAAAATCTGCCATCCGGTTTAAGAGGAGTTGCATTCACAAAATTTCTACATAGTATATAGTGAAAAAAATCAACAAAGGGCCATAATTCTGTAAAATTTAGTCACAGCGAAAATTCTTTCCTTTACTACCATCTACACATTAAGGTTGTTCATCCCTGTAAGTTTAAGCAAAATCTGCCATCCGGTTTAAGAGGAGTTGCGTTCACAAAAATTTCTATATAGTATCTAGTGAAAAAATCAACAAAGGGCCATAATTCTGTTAAATTTGGTCGCAGCAAAAATTCCTTCCTTTACTACCATCTATACATTAAGGTTGTTCATCCCTGTAAGTTTAAGCAAAATCTGCCATCCGGTTTAAGAGGAGTTGCGTTCACAAGATTTCGGGACGTACGGACGGACTGACGGACGGACTGACAGACGGACGGACGGACAAGTGCAACGCTATATGCTCCCACATTGTGGGGGCATAATAATGAAATCAATACTTTAAAGGTTGCCAAACATGGTAAATACAAAACAGTAAATTGCAAAACTCAAGTTAAAGACGAACCCATTAAAGCTGAACACATTAACAAATACAACTTACTTATCATCATTGGTATGGCAGTTGAGTGCAGCATTTTCTCTACTAAGGATATCCTCTAGTTTACCATATGGTAAATTTCTACCCTCTGATGATGTTACCACAACCAAGTTATACTGTGCTGGATTTATCCATTCTTGTACAGTCCTAATAAAACAATTATGTACATAAATAATATTTCATAAAATTTCATTATATTTCTTAAAACTCAAACTATTGATTAAATGTATTTAGTATTTATTGAACACCTAAAGATATTGTGTTTATGTCTTGATTATTGTCAACATAATATATCAATGAAAAGAGTTCAGGCTGTAAAAATAATATTTTCAGCAATTTTGTGGCCTACTGGCACAAATTTGAACTCTAAATAACAGAATTTCTGTTTAAGTGTTCAATTTGAAATGTTATTGTTTTTCTTTGTTTCAGGACCATTTCTATACAATCAAGCCACATGTCAGACAAGTTTAAAGCAAGTCTGATGCAAGTTTTCACCAAAGCTGTTACGTATCACAGATAAAATAGATTAAAATTTTTATTTAAAGTAAAATAAATTATGTTTTTTTGTTATATGACACAATTAACATATTTACATACACATATAACAAACAAGAAACATAGATAGAACTCAGAACAGATTAGTCTCCCTTACTTTCCATTAGTTCCTATCCAGTAGAGTAGACCGTTCTGGTCAAAGTCTTGTTGATGTGTAAACGTCACTGTCTGACCTTCCTTCAATCTCTTCACAAAGTTAAATGTACCCCTGTCATAATCATGCCATTGCTTAGCAACCTGTGTAATATAACACTTGTTTTGTAAGTAAATTTGATATGGATAATTTAACAATCTTTAGTGTCAACCTCTGTCAGCAGACGACCAAGGCTATCTGTGCTAGCACATCTATATCTTCTGGTCATGTTTGCTATTAAGTCTAAAAATTATTTTGACATTTTCCCTAAAAATTATGAATGGTTTTGTCCAGACTGAAAGGTTGACTAGTTCATTTAAGATGAGGTTTAAAGACAAGATATTATTCTATAAATAAAATAATGACCATTATAAATATATCTCCTATTACATCTGAATTTTCATTAACCAAACATGGCTGTTTAAATAATGAAATGAAGTCAACAAATACAGAAAATATACCATTTTAAGTAAGTATTTCTCCAGGGAACCAACAGTAGTTAAAGGTTCCATTTTCAGGTTACGACCAGATCTGTCAATTAGACTTGTCTCACCTGGTGCACGTTCTAACTGAAATCTTATCTTCCTGGTAAATATCTGAAAATATTCACAAAAATATTACAGTAATAACAGCAGTGTTTACAACATTAACATTTTAACTGACAGGTATAATTATTACAACCTAATGAAAGAGGAAGAAAGTAAATATAAAATATATTTATTTCCTTTTTGGTATACCACCAAGTCAGCTAGTCACAAGTCAATTTTCACACTATACAAAATATATTAATGTAAATCATATATATATCATTAAATTCATTGATACCCTATCTTGTTATGTTTGATAGGTACCATTACTTTTAAGAATCCTTCAGATCTAAGAATTCTACCATAGCAATTGAGTTTGTTTTGTTTGGTTTTACGGCCCACCAGCACAATTTAGGTCATATGGCGTGAAAACAGAAAAGATTATTTAGGCTAACCCCAGGTGTTACAAACTTAAAGAGACACCACAGGTAAAAACCACCACATCTGCTGGAGCTTAGGGATGCATAGACTCCAGTCATTCGAACCCATTAAGTTGCCTTTTACAATCATGCAGGAATAAACGGTGGCTGCAATGCTGATGCCTCAACATTTTAAGGCAACCCTTCAGCTACAAGTGTGTAGCAATTGAGTATGAGAACATACAACTTAAATGTACGCAGTGAATGAATTAAAGTTTAAAAGGAATTCACTGCATTTCACCCTTTCCGTTGATATATTGACATATCTTATTCACATGAAGACCTCCTATAACCTACCTGTAGACCATATCCAGACCCATTCAGATCATAACTATATACAGGTAATTTCTCTATAGATTCAAACACTGCTATCAACTTCCTCACTAGTGACACTGCTGGTGACATTCCCCTGTAATAACAAATAATATGGTTAAAACATTTAAACATGCCCTTATTTTTCCGGGTTTTTTTTTATGTTTTTATGATTTTAACACATTTTTGGTTAAATCTTAGTGGCTGATTAGCCGTACCTGCTTTCCTCAATAACTTACTTGATACTTACTAAGTTACTTATAACTCTGTAAATGTAACTTGACTACGAATCCCAAATGATTTCTGAATCAGCAGTGAGAGACAAATGAGTATTAAACTCAAAGCTAAGATCAATTCTCATAGAGATCGAACCAGGGACCTCTAAATTACTAATCCTATGCTTTCCCAATTGGGCTTAATGGGCAGACTTATTCCAACATAGAAATTAAGTGTAAATCTGTACTTGAATAGCAGATAGACATAAAGAAACACAGTAAATGGTTGCTAAAATCATAAAGATATAATCATCAATTAAAACAAAAATTGAACTATCTTGTTCTGACACCATGTAAATGTATCAATATAATGGCCTGACTTGATACATAACAATGGTGGTAAAGGAATTAGAGCTGTAAGAGTTTAAATTTATATAATCACCCTTCTCTATCTCTGAACACAAGTCTAAATATGTTGATTCTTTCCTTTGTTCTTTTCTGGCTGCCTTTTGTGTTAGGTTCTTCTATATTCTGTAATACAAGAAAATTCAAGTTGAATTAGATACACTTTAATATATACAGACAGGTAAAAGTTCACTGTGTACATGTATAATCCAGCAAACAAAGCTGATACACTGCTCAAGTATTTTATTGAGAAGCCAAATAAACTGGAATGTGAACATATAGCAATAATATTATTATACCATGTATATTCTATTATTTATTTATACCTTTTCTTCTAACTTCTTTTATGTTAAACAGATATAAACAGGTTTCCAGATAGCAAACATAGACAGAACAAATAAAGTGTTAACTAAGTAGCACTCAAAATAATATTATATTTTAACTGTAATTTAATTGATTTTAAAAGTTTGTAGTGTTTTTATTTTTGAGTTTAAAACTTTCTTTTACTTAGTTTTTTGAGTAACAATGTGATTATGCTCATCTGTGCCTCACTGCCCTCACATAAAGCATGGAGAGGTATCTGTATTATTCCTTCACTTAAAAAGGTATAATGTCATTGTAACATTGTAACAAAGTCAGGTATACAGACTTACATTACTAAGTATATTGAGAAGAGTTTGTACAAGTCCACTAGAGTACAGTTCAAAAGCTGATATAGTATGTTCATCCTTCAATAGATCCACCAGCTCCTCGAGGGCATGTCTCATTTCCTCCTGCCAATTTACATGACCATCCGCACTCTGTCAAATATATCATATATATATCATAAATCATTATATGCATGTATTTCATTTAAGAAATAATATATCTCAAACAGTGATTTTATCGCTCAGTAAAATCACTGTTTCGAGTTCAGATGCGAGGAATTATATCACGAGGGCGTAGCCCCAGTGATATAGTGATGCGCATCCAAACGACAAACAGTGATTTTATCAAGCAATAAATTCACTGATTTCGATACATTATTTCGATTCTAACACAACATCAACAAATAAATGCTGCCGTACCTGATATTAACCTAAATTGCGCCTTATTTGTTTCCGTACTCATTTTCAGCGATCACATTTTTAGTGGTTGCGTCATATGTATAATGATTACGTCACATGTCTAAATATAGAATGTCAAACTGTGATTTTATTGCATAATAACACACACTTTCAGTTATTCTATGTTCAATGGGGAAAAATGCAGGTCATGTTAGAATAACATATTATATCTATACATAAAATTATTCTGTAAAGTGGTGAGGGGTTTGAAAACATAAATGCTTATTCTAAAATATCACCAAGAAAAAGTTCTCTTTAGTATTGAAAAAACTGTAATGATATAATTTTACTGGTAGGACTATCACCTAAAGTTACTATTGCCACTCCCTAGTATTGACTTATATATATATTTATAGACTCAAAATAATAAAATATATTTCTATAGTTTGTCAATAACTGAAATAAAGACAAGTTGTTTAGGATGAGAGAAAAATAAATCAGTGTATACCTTGACTTGAGTAATTTGTTTGGCACAGGCTGCCTCTAGTTTTTGAACAATCATCTTCATCTTATATACAATACTGCGAGGTGTTGACTCGGCCGTCTTGAAATACTCATCATAAATCTCTCTAGCTTGACTCTTTACCTGTGGTAACATAATACAAGATTAATAAACAACACATATACTTTATATACTAAATAATATTAATTGTGCGGGGAGTTAAAAAGAAAACCCACATTTTTTAAATTTTTATTTACAAGCTACATTAAACCTATGTTAAATAAGTTTCTCTTTTTTTATAGAAATGTTTAATCTATATTCCTCTATGTTTAACTTTTGGTCTTGAAATTCTGAAGATAAATATCAGAACATATTTTTAAATGAAACTCTATCATTGGTTACTTAACAAAAACCAATCAGACAGAAGAGTATGAGAATAGTTTATAATGTATCACATGTGTGATAGCCCAACCAACAACCCCACCCCCAAACCTGCCCTTTAAGAAGATAAGCATTTACCTTTGATCTGAGAGCATCAATTTTTGACCTGAACTTCCTGCTCTTTTTACCACCCCAGCCTGCTGAGAACTCTGGTCCTAGAGAAGTCTCGGCAGTGAAGGAATGTTTTGTACCACGATTTGATTCAAACACAAACCCTGCCAAATCCTCTTTTAAAATTGTAGCTTGCTGTAAATAAATTATACTCCAATTACATTTGATACATGTAGATGTAGAAAGTCAATTTTAATATATTTATTATATAAAATGGTTCATAAAAATTATATAGTAACAGGAGGATGGAATTCTCAATATGCGCATTCTAAAATGTAGCTTATAAATAATATTTTCGTGATAAGTTTAGAAGTGAGTGCAAGACATTTTTTTAATGTTTATCTAAACTAACAAGATTAAGGGGAAAACTTGAAACTTTGACCTTATCTAATTTCGTTCCAATTCAACAACTGAGAGAAACATTTTAAACATTCTCCACAAAGAACATACATATATCCTGCACTTACATGTTGGCCATCAGAATTCTGTATATGTAACTCTCCTTCCTTCTTACACGTTATGGCCCAGTTTCCCACCAGGATCCTGTTTGCCGACACATGTGACATAATAGGCTGACTAGGTGTACCAAGTTTTATCTGACTTTTAGCACGTTGTAACTTCTCTAGAAACTCTCCTCTATTCTCTGAACTATCTGATCCACCTTCAGGGCTTCCACTAGAGTACATGGTAGCTAGTTTACTGTCTAGAATAAACCTGAACCAGCCGTTACTGCCGTTAGAAAGTTCTAATGCAGCTGCATCGCTCCACAAGTATAGACAGTCTCGACCCCGTACCATACACCAGTCCTTCCAATGGTATGGTTTACCCTGAACAATATCTGAGGCATCTTCTTGTACACTCCCATCCTCATCCTGTAACATATATATACAATTATCAATTAACATCACACAGTTAATAAAATTTATACATGTACTATTTATTAGCCAATACAAAATGTATACATTTCAAACAGTTCACTCTATCAAAATTTGAGAAAAAGTGATCACTCGAAAGCATTACTTACAACAAAATTACATGAAAAATTGTGAATTTTGATTCCGTACATGAGGGATAATGAAAAAGTGCAACATCCCTCACTTAGCAATCACTTGAGCAGTAGTAATATCAGTCACCTTAAGGTCAATCAATGTAAGTATAACTGAGCAATTATCTGTATAGGTCCTCATCAGAATATTATATAGACATTCAGGTCGGCCGGGCTCTATGACATGACATAGGTATATCATTATTACAGTTGAAACAGTTTATATACCTTTTCATTACTTCCAACAGCGCCCTCATCTTCTGGTGGTCCAGCAAGGGAGAGAACCTTGCCAAACAATCCTAACCTAGCAAAGTTGTCCAGGAAGAGTGTTCCCCCTTTTCTCATCACTTCCTGTATGATTTGTAATGCAGTTAGGTGACCATCATCGTCATCCTACAAAACAAATTATTTTCCACATGAAAATATCAAAAGTCAAAGCTTACAATAATGACAAAAATATTACAAATCTGACATTTTCTGTTGGTCACATTTGCAACATATCTCTTTCCAATGCAATTAGGCAATCCCTTTCTAACCTTTACTAAATTCTCTTTTTAGACTACTGAATAGGCTCTTAAACAACCTTAATACTGTCCAAGATCATGTCAAATCAAAGGGTTCACCGTACATGCAAAACTTAAAGTCACCGACCTTTAACATTTGGACATACAGGCTTTAACTTGAGACATGCAGGCTTTTACAACAACATAAAATGGAAATAGTAACTTAATTTTTACCACCTAAATATCTTAATTGGTCTTGCCATCTTTCAATCTAGACAAAACTAATTACTGTATTATCTTAAGGAAAAATTTCAAAATATGTACTGACTAAATAGGGAATAGTGCCAACCATGATCAGACCGCACAAATCTCGGTCTAAACAGGTAGCATGTCTAAACTGGTAGCATGGGTAGAATCTGTTGCTGCAAGCAGGTTAAGGGTTAAACACCATAAAAACAGACAACACTATACCTCATGGTCTAGAACATTAGCTAGGACCTCTGTCAGTGATGTAGCGAAGCTGACCCCTGCTGATGACCCACTTTGATTACACAAGTCCTCTAATAGTGGACCTTCTATATAATGTACCATCTTCTTTAACAGAGATAAACTAGATTTTCTGAAAATGTTAATACAAAATTGTTTATAATAAACTCTAAAAGAGTTAAAAATCTTAATACCAAAACCAAACAGTGATGTAGAAGTGATAATGATTCTATGGTTATTTATGACTTAAATTTACTGATTTAACTTAGCTTTTTATCAATTATTTCAAACACAAGCCAGGACCTGCATAGAACCATCAAATTGGAAGCTTGCTAGCTTGAAAATATATTGTCCTTAAAAATTGACTGAAAGCATTGAATCATACTACAAGTCAATGATCTTGACCAACTTAGACATAGTTCACTCCTGACCTTTTCAATCTACTTCACACAATTCATATACTGTATATATCAATAGTCATTATAAACTTACCGTATAGATTGTATCATAGAACTTTGGAACACATTGGTAAATACTGGTAATAGTCTCTGTACATATCGTGGCGCCACCTCTGGGTCACCTTTTGGCTCCGCAGGGTCATCAACTTCCATCGGTGTCTCTTCTTTTTTCTCTTTCTCCTCCATAGACACAGGAGTGCTGTCCCTTTGTAATGGAACCATCCATTCACCTTATGTAACAAAGAAATTTATACACATACTTTTTTCTACCTTGTTTTTTTGAAACAGCATTTGAGAAAATTTAAAATATTAGCATGAAGTAAAATCATTAAAGGAAAAGATGGACCCTGTTCAGACATAAACTCATGCATCAAAATCACATAGACCAATAGTGTTCTTAGTTAAGTGGCATATGCAAAAGAAGTTAAGGATAGAGGAAATAATTATTCATTAAAACAAGTTTAAACCTGGTGACTGCAATATCTGTATAACTTCTCTATGTCCTTCATCACTTCTTTCTCTAGCTTTATCTAGCGGAGTTTTTCCATCTTCATCACGCAGGTCAGGGTTTGCTCCATACCTAAGTAAAGTTTTCACAATCTGTGGCCGTCCAAAACAAGCTGCATAATGCAGAGAAGAGGACCTCAAACCTCTGTTCACATCTGCTCCTCTCTCACACAAAAACTCAACCTGTGAAATATTACATTCAACAATTAACATTCAAATATTCATCTCCAATATAGAAGAATCAAAATATGTTCATTTATTTGAATAATGATAAAGTAAATGTATGTGTTGTGTAATTAAAATAGCATACTACAATACTCTAACTTTTCACAGTTGATATGAATACATGAAAATATACGAATTTCTGACTCGTTCCAAAGATCTATGCAATTTTTACAAAATTCTTTATATAAAATGTCATCATTTTGAATATGTGAGGAATTATGTATATTTTAAATGCTACTGATGTTTCATCTCTTGGGTGTTAAGTCATAAAGGCACTGTATATATGAGCCGCGCCATGACAAAACCAACATAATGGATTTGCGAACAGCATGGATCCAGACCAGCCTGCGCATCCTCGCAGTCTGATCATGATCCATGCTGTTTGACAAACCCTATTACAAGTAGAGAAACTGATAGCGAACAGCATGGATCCTGATCAGACTGCGCGAATGCCCAGGCTGGTCTGGATCTATGCTGGTCGCAAACCCATTATGTTGGTTTTGTCGTGACGCGGCTCATATATTTATCAATTTTCAAGCTTCTATGGTGGACTTCAATCACAGGTGGCCGTCCATGCATTATTTCAGGTAAAAATAGGCACCTAAGTCGAACCACCAATACTCCAAATGAGAGCGAAATACCTTGTTTGGTTCAAACCCACAGCAGTTTATTACTATGCATCGTAACCAGACTATACTGCCGGATGTTCAAAATTATAATGCCTTCACATTCAAACCACTTTAGAAGATATACAAAGAATAATTTAAATTCAATGTCGCATGTGTCATTCACACAAATGGCATACATGTAGTGGTTAGAACTGAAAGCACAAACCATTTCCTGAGTTCCAAAGGCAGATGCCCAGTTGAGTAAAGTCTGCCCAACATCATCCATAAAGTTCACCTCAAAACCTGGAAGAGATATTCCTTTCATCATAACTTGCTAAATGTCTTTACATACCAGAAAATTTCTATAAACTTGAAACAAACATAACAAATAAATCCATTAACTTCACCAAATATGAAATGAAACTAGCACAAATACAAGCTCTAATATTTCAAATAAGGAAGTAAGCAACACTATCAAAAAAAACAAAAGGAAATACCACTGAAGTATTTGACTAAATTCATAATTAGTGTCCTTTTTATAATAAATTAAAATCAACTAAAAACAGCTTTTCCTTTTTATAGTAAGAGTTAATATAAAGAGTATAGGCAATCATCAGTAGGTAAATGATAAATAATTAAATTAGAGCCGGAGATTAAGACTCACATTTGCCACCAGTATAAAGCTGTGCTGGCCTGCAGATCCTATATATTGATTACAAAATTTTAGGAAAAAGAACTCCCTTTAGCTCTTACCAAGCCATTATCTATCTTTCAATATAGAAAAACATATTCATCATTTTTTTCGGAAAGATTTCTGAATAACTACTGACTGAATAGCAAACAGTGCAGAACATGATCAGACCACATGGATGTCCCTACAAATCTTCGTTAGCACATGTTGTATTTGTAGAAGCAGTTGCTGCCAGCAGGCTAAATGTTAGATAACAACGAACACTTTCAAATTCAAGACAGGGTATTAAATTTTGTATGTAAAAAGTAAAGAAGTGTGCAGATTCATTAAAATCATTTGAGCCGCGTCACAACAAAACCAACATAATACCTTTGCGATCCGCGCAGTCTGATCAGGATCCATGCTGTTCGCTTACAAACCCTATTACAAATAGAGAAACTGATAGCGAACAGCATGAATCCTGATCAGACTGTGCAGATGCGCAGGCTGGTCTGGATCCATGCTGGTCGCAAACGCACTATGTTGGTTTTGTCGTGAGGCGGCTCATTTATATAAACATACCATTATCTACAGCATCAATTAAAGCATCTGTGTCTTTACTGCGTATACAATCAATTAGTTGTCTATGTGACCTCTCTCCTAGACTGTCCATTCTACGTAGTCCTGGTAATCTACCTGAGACAGATGATACCCCAACTTTAGGTAAAGCACTACGACCTTCAAACAACAGGACAAGTAACAGGTCTACCAGTCTCATTGTATCCAGGCAACACCTAAAAATAAATATCATAAATATAAAATATCCTAAAAATAACTGGTATTCGGAAACGTAATACTATTCATTGTGTAAATAGTTACAGTTACCTACGATGTGGGAACATTCCTTTGCTGGGATTTTGAAACGAACAGAGGTCACACATAATAGACATGTTCCCAAAACCCAGGTGGTTCAGGGTTTATAATGTTTAATAGTTTTTTTGGTTTTTTTTTCATTGTTATACATATAAATTTTTTCACTCAAATACAAAGGATAAGTGTTTATTGTAAGCAGATATTTGTTGTTACAGTGTTTCTTATCACCAAAGTACTGTTTATTTACCAGTTCAAATGTTGTTCAGTGACTATTGTGAAAACAACTTTCTAAAGATGTTTGTTTACAGAGGCTTCAATATATGCAACCTTGCATGTACTGTTTACAAAACATCAAGCTTTAAATAAATAACTTTATTACTGTAACAACACAATATTCTGATTCTGTGACAAACATAATAAGTTATTAGGGTAGGATATTAGCAACTTATAATAATAACTAAAAATACAATATCTCAAGCGGTCACCTTATGACGACTATAATTAGCACACAACAAATGACAGATAAAATTGAGGAATTGCTAGAAATAAGATCAATATCTGGTGAAAAAGATATGTTAGGTTGGTAACTATGTACACGTGACTCAAATGGATATATATACAACAAGTGACAGTTAATATAAACAAGTGTTGTTGCATTCATTTCAACAATCCTATACTGTAAGCAGAAATCTACATGTATGTAGAGCTAACACTGTGCCAATATGATAGAGATATACCACATGAGAACATGTAGATAGTCATAGAATTAAAGAATTTCATCACAGTCAGAGAGTTAATGAAGTCAATGCTGAAATTAGCCAAATTTTAAAGTTTGTTACATCTTATTCTTTAATTTTATATATAATTGCATTCATCCTGATATGTTTTTTTTCTATATCAAATTTGTTAACAATCAACCCTACACCTGTTTATTTGTGAAACTGTTTTGCACTGCATTGGATTTGAAACAGTTCAATCAATGTTTAAAGGAAATAAATACTAAAATACAAAAAAATTATCTTCTAACAGTATACAGCTTGGTCAAACTGCATACAATTTATAAAGAATTTGTGTATGTATATTTTTGCATTGACTAGAGGCCTTAAAGCAAATTTTTTATTTTCAAACTGTATATATGTTCAGGCTGACCTGGCTCTACACTGGTGGCTAAGGCACCTTCAATTCAAGTAGGTGTAGGTTTAAAATTCCTTAAAAGTTGCGACCACTAACCTCTCATCTCCTTTAAGACCACATTCTATGGCATGAGGCAGCTCAGATCTCAACAGATCATGTGTGATTGTTGGTGAACCTCGACACAGTGTCAGTAATAAACTTATCACAGTTGATATACTTGGACTCGACTTCACCTCCGGTGTGACACTCACCTTTCCTGGTGTACTAGATACTGATGTATTCGGTCCTGAAATAGTAATTACAAAGTCTTATTTCTGACTTTATCAAAAGACTAACAAGATTTTCTGCATCATACCTGTTTAATTATGCATGTGCATAAAAGTTATTGTTGCTATGTGTTGTTTATGGTATATTTCTTAATTCAAATATTATTACTTTACAAAGACAGATAAAAGAAACACTCAAGTGCATTGCCAACATTGCAGCAATGTTGGCAATGTACTTGAATTATTTTTGTTTACACAGTATTTGCAAAGCAGATGAACATCTGACATCATCTTCTTTATGTGTGTCTTTTTCCTGTGCTTCAAGTGAAGTTCTTGTTTTTATAATGAACTTGTAGTTTTCACAAAGCCAAAATTAAATAAACTTTAGACACTTCTGTTTTATAGTATATTATTTTTACAGTTTAATGAACTGACCCAAAAACAATCTTAAATATGAAATAAATAATGCAGTATCTTATATCAACTCAGCACAAAAATCAAGTTTTTTATCTGTATTTGATTACTCATGAATCACATAGTCAAAACAAATTGAGAATGAAAAAAAATTTGAGCTAACATAAAGTGTAAGACTACCTGGCTCCCCTGCTTGTTGTAAACGTTGTAACAATACTTCTATAAGTCCATGTGTGGCAAGTGGGGCCGGGTCTTCCCCTTTTCTTGTAAATCTATCAGCCAATGAGGCAAAGCATCTCAAGGCTCCATCACTCACGAATGTGTCATCATGGTTGAGCAAGGCAGACAGGGAGATTACACATCCTTGTAGAGAGCTGTCCTTCGGCTCCATCTTTCCACATAGTCTTGACACAACTGACATGCACGAGTGTAACGTGTCTTTATGAACGTAGGAACCATGTTCACAAATAAACGTGAGCACACAATTGAGACCACCTGACTCAAACACGGCTCCAGATTCTCTCGTGCAGACCAACTCCAGTACCTAAAATATCACATATATAAAGAAAACATGACTTATAGCATTTCAGCATTGTAATATAGTTCATTTAAAGTAACAAGTATCACAGTTCTTTATTTATACAAATATAGTAATCATATAGTTATGATATTATAAAATGATTCAAATTAAAATCAATGGAAATGATTTTACAACATGACAACATTTTTGCGATTGAAGTAATCTGTAACAAAAAATAATACAAAAACAATTCAAACCACTTTATTTACCATGGGAACAAACATACCCACGAAGACTTTATAGTCTGAGGAGTGAGATAAGAGGGCTTGTTTATAAGATTAAAAGTTATTTACTTTGATACACTGTTCAGCAAGATCTTTGCTGGTCCTGGATGACATTTCAACAAGGGTAAGTCTGTTACAAAGAGCCTTCACTGCTCCCTCAACAGCTACAATACGTCTTGTGCACTCTGCTGATACATCTAGGTAATATGTAATTGCACGTGCAGTCACCTCTAGTACATTATCAGGAGCACTTTCATCAAGAAATATACGACACAGTGCAGGAAGAAATGTTCTTGGCGGACAGCTGTAAATATATAAAACATAATCATACAGAAGGTAATCAATGACATTTACACAAAAATATGCCAATCGCAAATGTTCAGTCTCAAGATAGTGAACAATTACTATACAATGAAATTTATGATAATTAAATGGTTAATACTCAAATTTTCATTTTTTTTATCTACCCTCGGACATCTTAAAGTGACCTTGGCCACAGGGCCTTGAATTTAGCATACAATTTACTACATGTATGCCTAACAATGTTAAACATTTGTGCCAAATTTAATACATAACCATCCCTCAATGCATCTCGAAAATATTAAACAGTAATAAAATGCCTTTTCGTATTCAAAAGTCATTACTTATGATAAATACATCATTTCACAGTTAGGATCCAATACATTATTTTGTCCATGAAACGGCAATTTATCCACTTAAGCCAGTAAAGGTTAAAAATAAAGTTGTTTTTTTTAAGTCCACCTAATAACAATTTGAAATGCCATAAATGCCGACAATTCAAAAAGACTGTGACCATTGATTAATGTATTATTATTGGGGGGGCTACCAATGCATCTATAGGACATTCCACTGTTTTGTTCATCTACAGACTGCCTGACAGGAGGAAAAGACAAGGACAAATCTATAAGCCCCCCCCCCCCCCCCAAAAAAAATCTGCTATGTGAGGTCAAAAAAAGGCAAAAATCTACAAAGGTTAACATAACAGTTATTTGATTTAGATACTGATCATATCAGTAGTGTAGAAAATGGAAACAAAAACATCACAAGTATTATCTGCACAATGTTTGTGTTTAAGCTAACATAATGCAAGTATGGCAATAAAATTGAAAATCAATGAGTACAACTACATTTATTGTATTATGGTATAGCAGTGCTTGGCTCACAATGTGATTTATCGGGACACTGATACATCAGACATATATTATAATGAGTCTGTAGATACTCTCTGTGATCACCATTAAACTCACTTATATAGAATATAACTCAACGTTTTAAATAAACAAAATTGAGCCGTGTCATGACAAAACCAACATAATGCGTTTGCGACCAGCATGGATCCAGACCAGCCTGCACATCCGCATCTATGCTGTTGACTTACCAACCCTATTACAAGTAGGGAAACTGATAGGAACAGCGTGGATCCTGATCAGACTGCGCAGATGCTCAGGCTGGTCGGAATGCTCAGGCTGGTCTGGGTCCATGCTGGTCGCAAATGCATTATGTTGGTTTTGTCAAGACACAGCTCAAATGTAGTAGGTAAAAGTTAACTAACAAGAGCTGTCAGAAGGACAGCGCGCTCGACTTTTTTAGTGCTTGCCTATAAAACAAAACTTTGACAGTTAAGGGCACACAAGACTTTAACTAGGAATTTCTAAGTACAAATCAAGAAACATTTTCACAGAGTTATCTTCTCTTGCTTACAGATAGGTCTCATGATGGCACATAAGAACTCCAACTTCCAAAGTAATATCTCAAATGGTTAAGTCAACAAGTGGACAAGAATGAAAATCTTAACTGAGTTTCTAAGTCAAAAAGGGCCATAATTCAAATAAAATCCTTAACAGAATTACCTTCTCCTGCCCATGTTTTGGGACCATGATGGTAAACAAGTATTCCAACTTTCAAATTAATATCTCAGTTCAGTCAAAAAGTGGACTGGTACTAAAAACTTAACCAAGATTCTAAGTCGATAAAAGGCCTTAATTTTTAAAACAAATCCTTGACAGAGTTACCTTCTCTTGCGTACAGATGGGGGTAATGATGTGAAATAGCATTAAAAGTTTCAAAGCAATATCTCAAAGGGTTAAGGCAATAAGTGGATTTTACCCATATTCAATGTATTTTCTAAGTCAAAAAGGGGCATAATTCTGTCAAAAACCTTGACAGAGTTATGTCCTCTTGTCTGTTGATGAAGGTCGTGATGGTAAACAAGTATGGTCAGTTTCAAAGCAATACCTCCAATGGTTTTGAAATAAAGTGAGGTGGTACAAAAAACTTAACCAAGCTCAATACACTTTCTAAGTCAAAAAAGGGCCATAATTCTGTCAAAAACCTTGACAGAGTTATGTACTCTTGTCTGTAGATGGAGGTTATGATGGTGAACAAGTATGGTAAGTTTCAAAGCCATACTTGTAATACTTCTGAAATAAAGTGGGGTGGTACGAAAAACTTAACCAAGGTGTGACGCCAACGCTAACGCCGACGCCGACGCCGACGCCGGGGCGAGTAGGATAGCTCCCCTTTTCATAGAAAAGTCGAGCTAAAAAGCACACTTAAACCTCAGTAGTAGGTAATTACTGTACAGCTGAAATGGTCCTAAAATGCTTTTCTAATTTGCACCTTATAGAAAGCACTTATTCATGAGATTTCTATCTTTAAAACAAACTTCAAGATTTTTTTTTGGCAAATTATGAAATACTTGGGTATCATTTAACTTCCTAGGTTTCACCTTAAATTTTGTGATACACCACAAGTAACTGAAGATGCCTTATTTCAAACAAACAAGGGCACCTGGGTAGAACTTAAACTACACTCCACTTTTTAGTTTCCTCACATGAAAAAGGTATGTAATTTTAAAGGGAGGAGGCAATAATCAGCAATGAGGAGAAAATGGTGACATGAAAAATTTGGTCTAAGAGCAGTGTAAGAAATTGGGATTTGAATCCACTAGGCCGGTCGGACTACCAGACTTGAAAATTCACTAGCCTAAAAGACATTTCACTAGCACGATTCATTTGTTCAAACAGTTGTTTATAGTGCCTCTGAAAATACAGTAGTCTGGTTTGGCTTGTTACTGTAAAAAGTTGGTAGCCCGAGGAGAAATTAAGAAGTCAGGGGCTATCGGACTACTGCTAATTTCGAACACTGTAAGAGAATAGTCAGTTCAATGTACTATCAAGTGCATGAAACACACTTACATTTATTTACAAACACTTTATACAAGAAATAAGTCTGTTTTTTTTTTCTTTATAAAAATTATATACTACAAAAAATTGTTCACTGCATTTGAAACAATTTTTTTACATCATCTTTTGATGTATTATCTATAATTTCACTAACTGATATCTTAAATACTATGATATCTAGACAAATGAATTGGGGCAATAAGCAAACCAATATTGGTCTTATAATTTCAATAGATTGCAAACATTTTATGGCCTCCCGTGTGTGACTATAATTATGGAATTGGATATATAATTATATACAAGTACAGGGGTGTTTTTTTCAGAATTTTGGGAACATGACCCATACCCGTGGAATTGGGAATTCCAACAATGTTTTGTTAAAAACTGGGGATTATTAATTACCTACATTAGGTAAACAATCAGTTAATTATTTCTTTATAATAAGTTCATCAGTAAGTTAATCAATCATTTTCTACATATGAATGTAATATAATTATCAAGTTTGTTTGTAGTAAAATGTGTGAATCTCGTGCACAATAGACTACATGTAAATGACAATGTTGACCTTACATACTGACATGCACTGCGACAATGACAATAAAACATTAATTTTTACCTTATATGACACGTTACAAAACTGTCATCATGTGTGTACAAGGTTTTTTATAAATACATTCACTTTAACTCGGCACATGTCAAATAGTGCAAGCTTGAGCCATTAGAGTCTAATACAATAATTAAGGTGTAAATTGTCTCTTTACGAAGTTCATGCCCAGATATGACTATCATACATGGGAGGCTTGAACTATTCAAAGGCTATGACTAAAATCTGGCAGAAGAAGAGGACAAAAGCCTTACATCTATTGTATTTGATAAGAATATAATTAATATCAATTTACAGTCATTGAACTTGTATATGATATTTTGACCTGATGTTAATGTCCAGCAATAACAGACTAACAAATTATGTTATCAGAAATAACTAAAATTGATGGTAAAATAATGAATTTAGAAAGAATAACATGTCATCAGGTGAGGTTTTAATAATTACTCCTCTACAGTTCTTATATCCTGATGGAAGACAAACATGTATGCAGACAGCCCTTCCAAGGGTAAACAATGTCAATATATCTGTCCATTTCTCCAGGACTCACTTTGCCAATAGACATTTTTTGCCCTTTTTCTAGCAATTTATTAAATTGGCTACAAAAACTTAAATTTGGCTACAGGATTTCTTGCCCATGTTATTTAAAGCAATTTTGATAACATTGTGTATATGAAAAAAAAAATAACAGAAATTTGACTGAAAGAGATATGCTCTGATTTCTTAAATAATAAATGGTAAAAAATTCATAAACATGTATTTCTTTTTCATGTAAATATTTTTCTACAAATAATATAAAAGTTCATTATTGCATTAGACTACAGGCATGTACAAAAATATTGATAAGCAAGAGTGCTAATTTACGACGTCAAAAGTTTATTGAACCTGGAGCCATTGACCTATGTGCAACCTAAATCAGTTACTTACTGTCTAGTTTATTGAAACCAATTATTGAAAGAGAAAAAATTAGTCAGATAGCTTATGTGCATATTTCCCTGTTTTGTTAAGCTCATTTTAAGAAAAGAGGTGATTTTTTGTAACTCCGACTTGTCAATCATTTTAAAGACCAAAATCAAGCAGCACAATTTTGCCGTCTTATCATGGCCTGCACATGTCACTATTCACCCTATTCAATCACTATTATCAGTATATATTTTGAAATTTCCCCCTGAAAATGATAGATAGTTTCTTTCAGTTTGCAAAATGGACCAGTCTTTTTACATATTTAATGTGGTAGTGTTAAAATGTAGTGTTGTGTCTAAAACAAATCAGCTCACTATCCATTTCTAAGAATACTTGTCCTTCAAAAGTGAAAAAAAAATTAATTTGTTAATCTCTCAATACATGTATCTTAGGATCTGTCCTCAATCTTTCAGAATCAAAAGATAACAAAGTAATGAAGTTTATAACCCAACTTCTGAGACCATATTTCTGAAACTATGCCTCTACAGTTGATAAAAATTTGAGAAAATAATTCCCCCCAATGTTTTAAGTGAAGATTTTAACACTCTAAAATCAATATAACAATTAAACAGAAAGAGAGGGAGAGTGGCAGGGAATTATGCCAGGATTCCAATGTAATAAGACAATGAATTGCTGCATGCCAGCGTGTGATTTTAACCAGACATTCCAGAACATGCAATATAAATTTATGCAATTAACTGCAAAAAAATTTTTGCAATTAACTGCAAAGTTTTTTTTATTAAAACCATATCTCAGTATTTTGACATTATAAGGGGGATGAAAGGATGAATTTAATTTTCGTGAAGAACATTTTTCTGATGGAGAGCAGGGTAACACAATAAATTTCTAGCAATGTTTTCAAAATTGTTAAACATTTCAAAAGCCGAAAAAAGTAATAATTATACAAAAAGTAGTTTTCTAGACGAACCTTATAAATACATTTTATGAAGTAAGATTTTCTATGTACATTTTAAATTAATTACAACACAGGAATCTAAATCAATACAGTATTAATATTTTAACATTACCTTTCAAACACTCTGTCAACATTGTCTGACATTAGTAGGAGCATACAGAGCTGCTCTAACGCAATCAACTGCATCTCTCGTTCCTCTCCGGTACTCATCTGTAGCCATTCTAGTAACGTTTCAGGATCAAAATCTGCCATGATGGAATCACCAGAATGTGTATATATATATACTCCTACTGTCCAACTCTGGACAACTTGTCAACAAAACCAAGGTAGTTAATGCTGAAAAATAAAGTAATATGAAAGTCTCATCAAGTTGTTAATATAACTTTCATTTTATCAAGCTGACTTTGTTCTAAAATTGAAACATAGATAGTATAACCCTTTCTGGATTTCAATTTCAAAATGCTAACATAAGATAACGTCCATCATGAACTGATCTATGAAAGAGCATTGGGTCTGTAATCTCACAGAAGCCAAATTTTTTAAAAATACTATTTAACAAGAATTAAACTAAAACTGGGTCTAATCTGTTACAAGAGCTGTCGGTAGGACAGCAACGCTCGACTATTCTTAGTGCTTGATAGTAAAAGAGCCTTGATAATGTAAAATTTTCTAAGATAACAAAAGGGTCAAATTTTCCTTTAAATCCATGTTGAGTCCCATTATGCTCTCAAAGAAGAGTATAAAATTTCAACTTGTTTCAAAGCCAGATGTCAATAGTATATGAAAATATCTGAGGTGGTATGCAAACTTTAATGTAAATTCTAAGTCAGAAAAGGGGTATAATTCTGTCAAAATGCTTGATACAGTTACCTCCTCGTGTCTACAGGTTGGGGTCATGATGGTAAACAAGTGTGCAAAGTTTCAAAGCCATATGTCAATGTACTTTGAAAACATTTCTGATCATTCCTGTAAGGTTTGGATGAAATTGCACCAGTAGTTTATGAGGAGTAGTCCGGACAAGTTTTGTGACAGACAGACAGACGGAGAAGTGATCCCTATATGTCGCCACTACTCCGTAGAGGCGACACAAAAAGATACCAGATAAATGTAACATTTTAAAAAATAATTACACTATAATCATAAAATTAAGAAAACACTATGAAATTTTTTTTATAAACAATATATATATATTTAAATAACTGTCTATATTCACAATCACTCTTAACTGTTTAAAACTGAGTCTTTCTTTATATTAGTGTGAACATCAATGTAGAAACAAAACAAGATGCTGGCCCATTGAAAAAACAGCCTTACAGGGAGGTGTCTCACTAGGATTTTCAAAATAGGAGTCCTGACACTCCCAAGCCAGAACAAGTACCAAATAATAATAATCCTAAGCAATCTTTGTTGCATTTATGCAATTGATGTATGTATATGATGAATAAACAGAATAAGTCATGAGGAAGTCAGAATTTGAACAGAGAAAAAGCTTATTTAGAAAAATGGTATAAATACTCCCAAAAGGGAAACTCTGTATCATTAAAAAGTGATTGAAAAGACTTGATACATAATTTCTAATACCCTACATATTCAGACCTTTATGCAGTTTTCTTCCCAATTCACTCCACCCCCACCGGACCCACTCCCATAAGTAGGTGATACTGGAAAATATCTCCATCTCAACTAATGTAAACAATACATTTAGTAATTTTAATTTATAAACTACATTTTAAGTGTTATTACACACATTTTAACAAAACATAGCTTCATTTTGGTTACCTTTTCTTTTTAATTATAAAAAGCGGCATCGCGAAAATATGTGGCAAATGAAATTATTCTGTTTCCTGCAAAAAAAGTTCACATTTCTAGTTGTTGTTGATTTTCATTATATCAGATTAAATATTTTTTGAATATTTTATGTTATTCATCATTTATTTGAACATGCATCGTAAAACAAAATTTTAAAATTTGTAACATACGGCAAAATTTTAATTTTATCGTTGCTGATGTAACTTTTTGAAGAGACAGGTTCTTTAAAAAATTTCTTTCGGTCACCGGGAACTTATTATCAAACAGCTTATTGATATTTTTAGCTTCTTGAAATTTTATTCAAACGTGAGGACCGACGGTAGTGAAATTTATCTCGGACAACATGATTTTAATTCAGCCATGACCGAGGACAGACCGTGACAGATTTTCGCGCAGACTGATTATTAATTGCACCATATAAACAACCTGTTAACCCATTGCTTCATGAGCATTTTGTGAAAAATGGCTGTTTTCATTGAAAAGTCTCCCGTTACAAGTTCAAATTGCTATAATACTATAAAAACTGCTTCAACACTAATCAAACTTGGCACAAATGTTGACTGGACCATTGCCCTTGCAACAACATGCTCAGGCTTAAATTTTCTGTTACCATGGCAACGAGGGGACATCTCAAAATTGCCAAAAATCACTATTTTGCGTTGATTTTTTCCATCAAAATTGATTTCAAAGTGCTGCAACTTCTCAATGGATTGAGATAGAGTCAAATGCTTTTCAGCGTTGGTTTCACGTTACCTTATGATCAATCTGGGGTCATTTACAGCCTCTCACAAGTCCAAAATTTTCTTGGCGATGAGGGGGACTCCGCCCCCCTTCAAACCCCCCAAACAGAAGGGGGCACATCCCCCTTCTGGCAACCCCCTGATGTATCTTTTGGTTGGGGGGCTGCGCCGAAAAAGAGGTCACTTTTTTTAACAACATTTCTCAAAAAAAAACAAGTGTTTGGGGCCTAAATAAGGCATTTTTTCATCATTTGAGACAACAAAAAGGGGGGGGGGTGAAAAAGGCGTTAAAAGGCGTGTATATGAAGTAATGGGTTAACAGAAAATGATGAAAATACTTGAAATTACCCTAAATCGCGTTTTTTCATGTTTAAACATGGCCTGTCATATAAATTTGAAGAAAAATTGTTGTTTTGTAGATTTTTTGATTTTTTTCATTAACCCATTGCTTCATGAGCATTTTGTGAAAAATGGCTGTTTTCATTGAAAAGTCTCCCGTTACAAGTTCAAATTGCTATAATACTATAAAAACTGCTTCAACACTAATCAAACTTGGCACAAATGTTGACTGGACCATTGCCCTTGCAACAACATGCTCAGGCTTAAATTTTCTGTTACCATGGCAACGAGGGGACATCTCAAAATTGCCAAAAATCACTATTTTGCGTTGATTTTTTCCATCAAAATTGATTTCAAAGTGCTGCAACTTCTCAATGGATTGAGATAGAGTCAAATGCTTTTCAGCGTTGGTTTCACGTTACCTTATGATCAATCTGGGGTCATTTACAGCCTCTCACAAGTCCAAAATTTTCTTGGCGATGAGGGGGACTCCGCCCCCCTTCAAACCCCCCAAACAGAAGGGGGCACATCCCCCTTCTGGCAACCCCCTGATGTATCTTTTGGTTGGGGGGCCGCGCCGAAAAAGAGGTCACTTTTTTTAACAACATTTCTCAAACAAAAACAAGTGTTTGGGGCCTAAATAAGGCATTTTTTCATCATTTGAGACAACAAAAAGGGGGGGGGGGGTGAAAAAGGCGTTAAAAGGCGTGTATATGAAGTAATGGGTTAATCTGTTATTACATACGCTAATTGACGACCGCTGTGTTTATTAATTAATCATCGAGTCCAATTCTGCAAGTGCTATTAGAAATTGTAAACAAGGATCAGAAAAAACAAGCGCCGCAGTAACTTTTTTGGCACAGTGGTAAGATTGATTTGGAGATTAAGGCACAGCGGCAGCGCGATGCTTAAAGCGCCTGGGGAAAGGCCTGATAGTAATTAAAGGCAAAGAAGACATGGTTCATATATATAAAGTGTTTATATCATCAATATTTTGTTATAAATTTTTTAATCATTATTCGTCATGTTTTACTTATATACATGTATATATTTCTATGATATTGTTCTTTTGGTCGTAGGACAGGGCGGACTGTGAGACAGGGCGGACTGTACCAGGGCGGACCTTATGTTTGGACAGGGCAGGTTTGGACAGGGCAGACCATATTTTCCTTTTGCACTGATATTAAAAAACTTGACAGAATTACCTTAATTTTTTATGTGCAATTTATAACATTTAAGCTGTATTGTTAAATAATGATCAATTATATTAGATTAAATTTGTTTCTATAGGAAAACCAAGAAAAGTAAACATGTATATAAATTATCTAAACAGACAGCATCTTAATTAAAACAAAGCTAATAAATGAACTTGTCAAAAAAATCAAAATTGAGAAGTCAGCCAGGAGCATGCAGTCAAAATTGATAACATTATAGATAGAATATTCCAACAAGACACTTTCCATCAAAACATATTTCTAGATAGTTGCACAAGGCATAATATTATATATAGCGCATTATATTATGTGTATATATGAATGTATGTTAAAAAGTAAATCAATCGATATGCATGCGGTTTTTAAGTTTTGTACTCGTATATATGTTTGTCTAACTTCGTCATTATGTTTTAAAATATCTTTTAAAGAATATTATAAGTCATCTTTTCTGTTCTGTTCTGTATACGATGTAAATTTTGTCTACCTTTTTTGATCATTTTTGTAACGTCACTCATCATTATTTCACGCTATTGTTTTGTATTGTGTTTCAAATGTCAGACGTGAATAACAAGCTTTTTCTATATGTATTGTATTGTTATATAAAGTAATACCCTCTTATTACTTAACAAACAATGACATTAAATATCTTAATAATTGGTCAATTATCACCTGCATAATGTCCCACTCGATGTCGTTTCAAATAATTTCATTAATCAAATTTAATCTAAATTAATTAACTGCATTGATATTTGTATATGTTCATAATGATATCTTAAGAAAAAAAGAAAAGGCAATTACACTATATTTAAATATTTTTATTACATTAAATCACGGTCCGCCTCGTCTCGAGTCACGGTCCGCCCTGTCCCAAAATATGGTCAGCCCCGTCCAAACATACCCTGGTACGGTCCACCCTGTCCGTAATTCGTTCTTTTGTATTGTGTAATGCTTTTATGTAAATATTATTATTATACTGAAGAAAATAATAAGAAATAGATTTAAATGTTCAATATCTTGTCTTAAATTGCATGAAAATGTGTGATAAACCACGATAATTGGCGTGCACATTATAAAAGAGATATTGTTTGCATTATATAAATTAATTTTGCCGAAACCACTACCTGTTTTATTATATAAGATCTGTTCGTCTAACTGGTAGTTTGACGAAACCACTCTCACCCATTTTTCCCAGTCCAAACATAATTTTATCGGTCAGGCCTGTTAGACCGGCACTTTACGGAATGTCTGCATATAGGCTAGACATACATGAATCACATACAGGTAGAACATTTGGCAAGCAATACGGAACTGTATGGCTAGTCACTTCCTTATTAAAATGTGTACCCTTAAGGTCTGAGATTTAAATCCATCTTAGAGGTTCCTTCGTTTGCCATATATTCATATAATTTTACAATTAAAAAGAATATTAGTATAATAGTACCTACAGACCTTTTGATGAAACAAAAAAAGTCAGTGACATCATAATATTAATCACAGTCAATGACATCTTATTATTCATCACACTGATTTATACAATTTTAATGATCTTCCTCATTCAAAAATAAATTTTCTTATATCATGAATTCATATCTTTTTTTTTAGTTTTTCAACTTGTCGTACGAACTATTGCTGAATTAATAGAACTGTTTAACACAAATGAAAGCTTATTTTTAACAAAGGATGTGAATTTTGGCAAACAGACAAAAAGCAGAACAGTTCAACTGAGAATCGAAACAACAAAAATCTGTTGTTGTCAAGCCACAAGGTCGTTTTAAAATACTAGTTCATAAATTACCATAATTGATGTAAGACATTTAACAGAATTTTTGTAATATTCACCTAATCCATTTTGTCCGATTAAGTAAAATCCAAGAGATATTTCATTCAAAGAAAAATTGAAAGTAAAAATCAATCCCTGCGAAGAAAATTTCCCAGCCTCGTCCTCGTTATCGACAGCCCGAAGTTATCCGAAGTGTAGGCAGTACATGACTAAATTTGAGACATAGGTAACAATACTCTAATTGTTTTAGGCCTTCGGAACTAAAAATATTGTACCAGCAATAATTCTAGCTTTAGTCTGTTGTAGAAGATAGTTTATTTAATTTTCAGCCAGTGTAATACATTGACTCGCTATTGGTCAGCTAGTATTAGCCACTAGCTGATAAGCCCCGCCTAAATTCACCTGGCATCACCTCTCTGTAGTATCATTAGTAAATAGATTTAGAAACCAGACGGCTGCGTTGTTTAATCTCTCTACCCATGCTTGTCCAGTAACTATGATATAGCAGACATTACAGCCATTATACAACATTAAAGGGAAAGTCTTTCGAACTGTGATGTCAAAAAATAGAGAAATCATTAACAGAAAATTAAAGACACCAGTGAAATACGGAAAATATGTTTCACTGCAGTGAAAAAATATTTTTTTACAGTGAAAATACAGAAAATGAAAAAACGAATTTTATTTCATCAATATTTCTCAATATTCTCAGTATTGTCATAATATTAGTGTTTTATTTTGTTGTTTATAAGTCAGCTTTATCATATCTTTGTATATACCAGACTTTATTCAAAGACGATAATAAACTTCATTGCAACCGTCATACAGTCTAATAACGCAATCACTTCAATGGAATTCATTATGACGCTGTCTTCAGTGCCTTGTAGTGTCTTATTTGATTTACAGGTTTGTGTGGTCAATCAAAACAGAATTTACCCTCACCAAAATCACTATATATATCGAGAGTACCGCCACTCACGAAATATTCATTGTTTACCACTCCATTAAAATAAATCCTGTATTGATTCTGTAGAAAAATCAAAGGGCTGCAACCTCTGTGGTATTTTCTGATCTTTGCAATCTAAATCATACTGACTATCTGTATGTATTTTCCTGTATAAGTTTATTTTTATTTACTATAATTAATCTTACGCAGCGATTGCGTCTATAACAGTTTGAGATTGATATATATGGCATTTTGCATGACGAGTTGCATCAAAAAATCATTTTTTATGACAGCCACACTTTATCCTTGCATATCGTGGCTACTTCCTTAAAAAAAGACACTTCAAAAAAAAGTTGCTTCGACTAGGATTTGAACCTTAGGCCTCTCACACCCTAAACGAGCGCGCTACCTCTGCACCACGGTGAAGTAATACATATCTAGCTTGAATAAAAACAAATACATTGTAATTCTAATTTGAGAATTTCCATTTCGTGTTTGTAATTTTTACTAAGTTCGAGATAGTTTGTTCACGAACACTGATGAAAATAATTTAGCGAAAATCTTCTCGACAAAACATGTATATATTCCACTACTCGACAGTCAGATTTATTTGTGTAGTACGCTCTGGAGTATTCGGTAATCGACATAGCTAAATAGCATTTTCATTGATTAAGCTTTACGGAAATAGCCGAACATTTTTCATTTGGTAAAAAAGATATTCATCCGCGAAATTTGTGATTGTAACCTCATATTTCTATTGACTACTCTAAACGTTTAATGCACTGTAATTCGTTAAATGCTTACATTAAAAATTATTCTTTCTTTTAAATTGCTGGTTTTTAAGCAGTTCTGAGTGAGAACTACTTTGCGTTGTTAGGTCTGTAAGGAAATTTTGTGTTAGACCGTGGATGTTAGCTATGTATTTACTGATCTTGCGATCAGAAAATACAAAAATGAATTTTCTGTTTATTATATAAACTTTTTGTTTTCTTTTTTAGACATTACTATTTGAAAGAATTCTCCTCATATTGTGTGTATCGGCTGAATTTAGAATATGGGTTCAAATTGAAAAATTGAGAGAAAAAAACCTGAAAACTGTAATCCATACCCATTTTCCTACATAATCTAATAGTATTCGTAAATCATGATGAATTTTGTCACAAAAAAACCTGAGCTTCAGGCATATGCCTGAAAACTTGCACCCATGTTAGGAAAACGTAGTCCAGCAGGACACCGGTGAAAATATGGAAAATATGCTTCACTGCAGTGAATTTGTTACAGTGAAAATAAGTAAAATGAAAATACGCATTTTATTCTATAAATATTTTTCAATATTTCATATAATAAATATCTATATCTATAAGTAAAAAATTTTTGGGGGGAATTTATTTTCCATTTCATGGAAGGTCTGGTCGGCAGTTTGTTCTACAAATTTCAGATTATTCGCTAACTACAGTTTCCCAAAATTATCATTCTGTAACCAAAAAATTAAGAGCATTTTAACGCTTTAAGTAAAATCGAACTAAAATTCGAACACAAATATGATTTTCAATTATTTTTTCTTTATTATTATAGTTTTCATACCTTATAGTTTTAATTGCCACAAATGATCTAAATTTCAGGTCTTTAGTCGTTTGTACCTCAGTTGAGTTGCTTTAATAAGTATACAAAGCGCAAACTTTTTTCTTATGAGACCTTATTCGTGACCACGACAATATCTGGAGAAAATACTAGTACCGTCACTTTACAAATCTCAATATTGCCACGCTGCATGTTCAAGTTTTCTTTATAAAAAGATTCATGACCTCAAATATTGTTTGTATTGAAAAAGAAAAAAAGCAACAGCATAAATTCAAAATTGAATATTACAAAATAATTTTTATTATACTATAGCTTTAATGATTTATAAGGCTAATATGAAAGAGATAGTGTGAAATAGTAGGAAAAAGGATTATGCCCCCCATCCCTTCTTTCTGTCAAGGCGAACATTTGCCTGGCGGACATCACTTCTAAAAATATTTTCCTTTGTCTTTTTAATAAGACCTACAATTATCATGATTGAAGTGTCTTCTCATCGATTTGATCCACAAGTGTGTTAGACTATAATGTTGGCAAATTTCTGTTTCATTTAAAAGCTGTTTTAATCACAGCACTTTTCCTGCAGCCCGCGTATGACCAATTGATTTTATGTATGTGCCGAAAATCTTCACACGAGCTTTACTCCTTCAAACATTATACATGTACTTATGTTTGTTCTGGTGAATGTTTACCATGGGTTTTAGACCAGCAGTAGCACTTGGCCTTGCGATCATTGAGTCAGACATTTATAGTTAAATCTATTCTGCTCTTTAAGAAAAATACAAAACTCCAAACTTTATAAGATTGTTTATATGGATAGGACATTGTGTACATTATTTATTTAGTAAATGTCGCTGTTTCTATACTAGTGTAGTAACGCTAGACTTATCTCCCTTGTTCATGCCCTGTACGCACATAATTGAAACTTACAAAGTACAAAGTAATACTGGAAAGAGGTAACATCAGAGCAATGACTAACATGGACTAATGATACAGCCAAACTTATCCAGAGTAATCGCAATTGATTAATTCTAAGTCATTAGGAAAACTTACAGCAATGTACATTGAGACGACATGATGGTTTCTATATATGATGGACCAATAATTAACACCAGAAATATACAACCGTAACTTTTCGGCCCTTGACGTCAAACCATGTCCCCTAAGATTGCATTATTTCATACCACATCAAATTACGAGTATGTGTTGGAAGAATGACTACATTTTTATGTGTATCGACACAAAAATACAAGGAAAGATGTTTTCCAAATGCAGAAATATGGCCATTTATGCTTCCGGAAATTGTAGAACCTTACTGCGATAAAGAAAAATGAAGAACTTTCAGTTATGGTGCGATATATTATTTATCCATTCATTCATCCATTTAGAAATGGCCTCTCCAGTAACCGGATATTTAATTATTTAATACAACATCAAAATATTATGTGTTTGGAAAAAGATATAGATTTTTAAATGTGTGACACAAGAATTCAAGGAAAGAACAGGCCGGTGTGGCACATTATTACTACATCAAACACACAAACTTACCGCATCTGGTGAACATGACGTAGACAAAGCTTACAAAGCCTGTCTTTTTACCATCATACCAAAATGTTTCCTGTCTAATAGCATTTAGGTAAAGCTGAAGGGAAGCATGATGACACGTGTCTTTTGGACAAAAGTTAATGTCATATGTTCTAACCAATTCGTTAATTCACACTGCCTCTTTAATACCTTATGGTTAATGTAAAACAGAAACTGACACTTCAACATCATGTGCATGGTGTTATCTATCAGCAATCATGCTATATTCTCTGTTCTTTCGAATCGCGTGATTCTAATTCAGATCATTTAGTCAAACTGAGGCTACATTTTACATTTTCTTGGATTATTTTTACTGAAATAACAGCCTGATTTGTAACGAATAAACATATGAGCCACGTCACGACAAAACCAACATAATGGGTTTGCGACCAGCATGTATCCAGACCAGCCTGCGCATCCGCGCAGTCTGATCAGTATCAATGCTGTTCGCTATCAGTTTCTCTACTTGTTATAGGGTTTGTAAGCGAACAGAATGGATCCTGATCAGACTGCGCGGATGCGCAGGCTGGTCTGGATCCATGCTGATCGCAAACCTACTATGTTGGTTTTGTCGTGACGCGGCTCATATATACTTGCAGCCTTTTCTACACCTACATATACCACTATATTAACGAATACTTTTTTCATCTTGCTGTATATTATTTCACTGAACAATCGAGTGTTACAAAAGGCAAGAGACATTAAGCTAGAATGTCAAGGTTACTCTGTAAATTAACATCAATGTAGGCGAATAATACAACATTTTTAGATTAGGGAAACACCAAAGAGAGGCGTACATGTTGTGTTTCGCTAAAAACCTCTGTATTTTACATAAATTAAATAATACTTATTAACCTCGACAAGTTAGTCAGCCAAATAACATTATTTTGGATTGTATTGTCAGTGGTTTCATTTTAAAAGTATAAATCGTTAAAAAAACCGAATCGTTTCAATAAACAAACAAGAGTGAATTATTCCATACATTCCCTAGCTCTAGATAAAAAAAACAGTGTTTTACATTCATGACATCGAAGAAACCATTTTTTACTTTACTTTTTTTTACAGCAACACTTACTATGCACTTTGTATTTAAACATGTTAGATCAAAGGGAATGAAACCATTGTATTAAAAACAGTAGTTAAACCACAAACTCTGTTTTCATTTGAGTGATTGACAAAAACACTAATGACAATTTCAAACATTAATTTGTTTCTCTCTAAAGTGAACAGCTGCCATCAACCTTACATTTTTAAACAATGATATTGACAATGTTGGTTTCTCAGTTTTTTCTCAAGTTTTTTTTATTATTATTTTTGTATTAAAGTCACGTATCATCAACTGCAGATATTGTTTTTGTTCATATTTATGAGGCTGTTTACGTGAAGCAGTTTTTGTTCATAACATATTACATTGTATATCATTTCTAGTATTGCATTAATAATCATTTCTTCTTTAGCTTGTAAGTTCCATCTTCTATTTATTCGAGATGCATTAAACTTCACATCCTGTCTGACAAATGGTCCAAATGCAATAGATTCAACTGGTATATCCAGCCAATCACAATTTTCATATTTTTTAACTACTATTATGAATGTTCTATTCTAGAAGTTGTGTTCTAAACGTCACTCGGATTTGATCCCGTTTCTCGATTCCGCTGGTTCCCCGTCTAAATTGTCTTTAGTTAGATGACCAGTTATTCTACATAGGAACCAATCTGATACCGTCGTCGGTAAATATGGATACACTGTTGCTAAAATCTGTAAGAAGGAAAAAGAGATTCCATTTAGTTCAAGTAATGTTGATTAAATGAAATATTTAAGGTTTGCATGTATGATTAAAGCTACATATGAAGCTTTAGCTAAAGCAACAACTGACATAGTTCAATGACTTTTGGTTTTAATATCACCAGTTACATAGGTATTAGTGGCGTACATTTAATAGCTGTGTTAATCATACAGCATGAACAATACAATAATATACAAATAAAAGATCGTATTTCCTTTTCGCCTTGAACCTTTCAGGAAATTTAAGTTTGACATTAAATTTCTATTTCTTTTATCCATTCATTTATATTTTCTTCTATCATACAGTAATAGAATGAATGTTTGTAAAATTACCGCTATAGGATCAACAGGATAGGGGCCACCATGTACAGCGTATCTATATTCCGGGGCAGAGCTAGAGACAGCATCAAACATGGCATCTATGACAGCGTCCGAGCTATTGGCTGCTAACTTCTCACGTAACTGATCAATTAGATCTATCTGATTGTTTAAATATTTCTTCGAGTATACTGACTTTATCTCCTCGCTGCTCCTCTCCCAAAATTCATTTATTTGTTTGTAATGGCGGGATATCTGCAATGAAATCAGAATATCACTGTATTTTTCCATGTCTTTTAACATAGACTTTACGTTTAATATATAACAATTGTGGGATAGGCTTACTTCTCCAATTAAAGTTGTCAGATCACATTGTCTTGTAAGTCGATGTCTAAAAGCAGCAATCAATCTAGCTGGCTGACGATACTTTAAATAATGAATAACTTATGGTACACCCTCCCTATCACCCAATAACCATGCAATGACGCAAGATAAAAGGCGTTGGTAACATAACTTAACAAAATTAACAACTGTTACAATAAATATTATAGTAATTAAGTTCAAGTAGATTTATTAAATAAAATCATTCAATTTACAGTAGCATCAAATAAGTTCCATCAACATATATACTTTTTTGTCCTTTAAAGTGAATTGGTCTACAAAGGGCACATGTTCCATAAATATTTTAAATTTGGATATTCTTATAAAATATTGCTTGAAAGAAATATGTTAACAAAATTCTAAGCGATTTTGAATAAACATTTTCATGATGAATAATGATATTTTGTTCTAAAACGAATAATTATCTGCTTTTTAAATACCGTATATGTAATATCGGATAATGTATCTCTAACTTAGTAACAACTTCCATGTATAATTCTTTCGTGATTTTTTGTTATGTGTGATACTAAATACTATCACCGTAACTATTCATTGTATTATAGGCCTACTATTATATAGACAAATTCACTTTGATTAGTCGTTAAACTATAAAAGCTTATTTGCTTGGTATAAAAACATTTCTACAAACATTTGACATTTTAAGTGTGTCTTTTACATTAAACGTGCATCGGTGTTTTGCATCTACACAGATTTCTTGTGGCACGTGACTTACATTTTGTTTATTGTGGATGTCGGTATTCCCTCCAAACATGGCGGGTTCAATGATTGCGACCTTGACACCAAATTTTCTCATTTCCATGCGCAGTGTGTCGCTCAAACATTCTATACTATATTTGGATGCATTGTACGCTGCAGCACATGGCAATGTGAACCTTCCTTGTATACTTGACATATTGACAACACGACCTAATATAGATACAAACGCATGATTAAAGAATAAATACAAACGCACAACAAAATTGCCGTCTTAATGAAAATTTATTGTTCGTGTTTGCGTATGATAATATACATGTATTCTATGGTGGCTAATTTCTTACACTTACGAAAAGACGGCAGCTAGCCATTTTTTTTTTTTTGATTTCGTCTTCTCTCAAAAGCAATATCAATAACATTAACAGTCTCGCTAATAATTGTCTCTAGAGAAAGGAAGGTAATAAACCAATTTCCTTGCTTTCGTCTTGTCCAACGGAGTATTGTCACTAACGAAAAGGCGGCAACAAAACAAAGTCTCATTTTTTAAGTCTTCTCTCAATATCAGTATCAATAACAGTTTCGTGGAGTATTGTCTAGCGGAAAGGCGGTAACAAACCAAATCAAACCAAAATTTGTCCCACGGAGTATTGTCACTAGCAAAAAAATGGCAACAAACTAAATTGTCATGTTTTCGTCTTGTCAAAAAGGCGCCAATAAAGCAAATGTTCTCGTTTTCGTCTTGTCTCGCGGAGTCACTTGCAAAGAGACTGCAACAAGCCAAAGTTTCTTGTTTTCGTCTGATCTCGCGGAGAATTGTCACTAGCGAAGATATTGCAACAAGACAAAATTTGTCTCACTTAATATTGTCACTATCGAAAAAGCAGGAAAAACCAAATAAATTGTCTTGTTTTCGTCTGGCATAGCAATAACGGCAACAAGCCACACTTTTTATTAAACTTATTTGCGGATAATTGCCAGCAGCGAACAGACAGAAACAATCCAAATTTTCTAGCATTCGTCTTGCCTCGATGCGCCTTATATGGCGGTGAGAAGACAAGAAAGAGATATGAATCTGCTACCATAGTATTCAGGTTTTAGTTGGGACTTTGATTTTCAAAACTGAGGAATTAGTGATAATAATTCTCATTGATGATATAAGTTACACCACTATATATATCAAGCTTTTACGGTATTTGAAAGAAATATAACAAGATTCATAGACTATGCGAGTAAAGTATGTTTTTTCGACAGAACACATTTTGACAATCAGCAATATGGTATTTTACCTTTTGAATTCCTTACGAGAGGTAGAAACTCCTGTGTAACTCGAACATTGCCAAAGAAGTTGACGTCTGCTACAGACTTGAATGTTTCAACTGGGCATAATTCAACATCACCATGTCCATACACACCAGCATTGTTAATAACGCCCCATAATTCTGGAGTAAAATAGAAAACAACACGTGAATATGTCATCCAATTATGATTATCAGATGATTCATTTAAAAAAAGAAGAGATTAATCTCAAATCACAGTTAGTTGAGTCACGAATTAAATATTTCTTAACATCCGTGGTTGAGTACAAAAAATAACATAACAATTAAAATTAGTCAACTCATTACGAAAAAAGTACAAAATATACACTAGACAGACATTTGTTCAACGGAAAAGTACATTACATTAAAAAAAACCTACGTTCTCGTACGAATTGCCAGCTAATCATAATGAAATAACAGCAACAATACAACAACAACAACAAAGACTAGGTATATCGTGCATTAAAACATTGTACGAACATATGGCAGTAATGTAATATAACTCACGTAAATCTCCAAGATTTTCTCTGACGAACTTTCCTGCTGAAGCCACGCTTTTATCGTCAGTTACGTCCAAAGCAACAAGTTTGAGTTTATCCGAACAGTTTTTCTTTAGATTACTAGCACCTTCACCATTTTCATTTAAACATCCGGCAAACACAACGTACCCCTCTTTGTCAAACTTCTCTGCTGCCAAATACCCGAATCCTGAAAATTAAATCAGACCAATCTACGTATCAAACTGTTTGCTTTATAAACTGGTATATGTTTAACCGGATTCTGAAACATTAACAATTTTAACTTTAGAATTATGCTCTCTAAACACCTTAATTAATGTACATGATTTTTTATTATTTGATAATTTCCATTAGGGTAATAGACCCATGTGGACACCATGCTACACGTGATGAGACAGTGAAATAAATAATGTTGATTGACAATCTTAATGAAGCACTGGAGAAGTGGAAAAGCTTGTACCTCGTCATAAAATATGAAATAACACACACGCTCGCACATACACACACACGCGCGCGCACACATAATATTAAACAAGAGCGATCAGTAATCACATGTGTCGCCTCATGATGGCCAATTTCGATGTTGGGGCAAAATTTTGTGAACAGACGGACAGACAGACAGACGGACAGTGCACAACTAGACTTGGTACTGATCATTCCTGTAAAGTTTGGATAAAATTGCACCAGTAGTTTATGAGGAGAGTAGTCCGGACAAGCGTTTGCGTATCTGGCAACACACAGAAAAAAACACCTTTTTATCAAAAGGGCCATAACTCGGCAAAAATCATTCAACCGAAAACCCGTGCAATATGCGCAAGGACTTGAGCTACAGATCAATCCTGTAAAGTTTCATTGGAATTGCATTAGTGGTATAAAGAGAAGTAGTCCGGACAAACTTTAAAATTAAAAATTATTAAATGGCCATAACTCTGACAAAAATCATTGAACCGGAAAATTCTGACAATATGCACAACTAGACTTGGTACTAACCATTCCTGTAAAGTTTGGATGAAATTGCACTAGTAGTTTATGAGGAGTAGTCCGGACAAGCTTTTGTGTATCTCGGCCAAAAATCATTCAACCGGAAAACCCGTGCAATATGCGCAAGGACTTGAGCTACAGATCAATCCTGTAAAGTTTCATTGAAATTGCATTAGTGGTATATGAGAAGTAGTCCGGACAAACTTTAAAATTAAAAATTATTAAAGGGCCATAACTCTGACAAAAATCATTGAACCGGAAAATGCTGACAATATGCACAACTAGACTTGGTACTGATCATTCCTGTAAAGTTTGGATGAAATTGCACCAGTAGTTTATGAGGAGTAGTCCGGACAAGTTTTGTGACGGACGGACGGACAAACAGACAGACAGACAGACGACGGAGAAGTGATCCCTATATGTCGCCACTACTCCGTAGAGGCGACACAAAAAGAAGAAAAGAAGGTCCTAAACAATCGTAAAATCCTCATTTTTGGACGATTATACTACTTCCCGCGTTCTTCAATGAACTAAACTGAAAAAGAGTTGAAAAAGGTCAACTTCATTCAACCTTATAAATAAGTTATTTTTACTTCAAGTTCAAAATAAACAACATGTAAGACAACTGAGCGTAAAATATTGACATAATATTTATATAAATATAACATACCCGAGTCACATCCTGAAATAAAGACAGCCTTCCCATCACTTGAAAGTTTGGATTTCTTTCGATTCTTTATAACCCTCAGTAACATGTACAGTACCAGCACACCGAAAAAGTAGTTTTCTAAATCTCCGCGAAAGGCAACAACTGGTACAAACAGGAAGGCGCCTAAAAAGGCAACCTCGTAGAACTGCAGTGGTAAAAGGTCTCCTAGCGACATTATCGTCTGAAAAAAACAAAAACAGTATTTCGTGGTAAAGTACCTGAAGGGTTAAGATGTTAGTTAGACAGCACGCGATTCCATCTTAAGACTGAAGCTAAAATCTTGTACTATCCAACAAAACATTGATTGAATATAAGGAGAAACAAACATGTGGAAAAAAGTCACTGCTTTAATATTTTTAATAAAATATCCTCAAGATTAACATTTTACAATTCACAGAAGACTTAAGAGAACCATTCAAATTAATAATATTTACAAATACTTGCAAAAATAATATAGAAAAATATTACCTTAAAATATGTCCTGACGCTACAGTCATATAATAAACACTGTATAAATTAAAATTGTCTCAAGATGATAGCAATCGGATATAACCGGAATCACGCCTTAATGACTCCCCTGTCAATATAGCTAAAATATCAGCTACATATATATTTATATTGAGGCGGCTATTATGTAACGATCTTTATAACAAAACACGAATAAAAGATTATTCAAGATTACACACTGTCACACATTTCAGCAGACAAACTCTTTAACACATTTAAGTGTCATCCAATGGTGGTAAATCTAACATAAGCCCCGTGGCGGTTTCTGGTCTATAAAACGATTTGAAATATACACTATAAAACCCCGAGGCTTGTATGTCAACAGAACACGGCGTATATACGAGTGCAGATGGGTTTGCGAGATTAATGAAAAAGAATTTACATTAAACATGCGCGGTATGCGAACGAACAAATAAACAAGAGTCAAATATGATGTATGTAGGCCTATTTCTAGCAGAAAACGTAGGATATTACAGCCGATATTCTCACGTTAAGCGAGCTCAGGGACCTTTAAGCACTTTCCAACACCGTTAATCAATAAGAAAATCTCACCCTGGTGTAATAATACACCGTTTATTTCTTACATTCTCTCTCACAGAAAATATTACTCTTATCATAAATAATTCAAGATTGATATGTTATGAAAACTCGTTTTCTGAGATTTCATGAATATGTTGCTATTTTATAAATGATGTTCGGCATTTACCACGGAACTTAAAATAATGGAAGTTTTATCATAAAAATGCATGATTCACATTTGATTTATAAAGCTTAAGGGAAATCACGGGGATGTAATATAAATCCGTGGGGAAATTAATATAACAATGGCTGTTTCTTTTCTTCTTATTTCTTTTCTTTTTTTTAATGAGATTAGATCTTAAGAAAAAACGAAAGTCGAGTACATGATCAGGAAATTAAGAGATAGACGGATGTATTTGTCATGAATTTAATACGTTGTTACATATACTAACAAAAAAGATTAACTCAATGCACCGCGGCCGATGATACTGCATATATCTACACAGAACAGTTTTGTATATCTCATGACCATTAAAAACTTTATATTGGGGTTATAAATACACTTCAAATCTTCAACTTCACTTAAAGAAGATAAGATTAAAGAGAGTATTAATAAATCATTATCATGAAATAAGAAACTTTAAATCCGGTATGGGTATATGTATTATGGAAATTTAATGTATTCATTAAACGGCGTCCTTTTTGTTATAATAATTATTCATTATTTTGCGATAGTTTCTTTTGATTTTCATATGGCTTGTAATGCGAAAACGCTGCCAAAAAGCACAAACAATTTATTATTA